AGTTCTAGAGGTTTTAGAGGCTTTTGTTTCCGCCCCGCTACAAAAAAATACTCATGGGCTAGATATCTACATGAATCAAGGAGAATGGAAAACATGGAGAGTATAACAAAATAGCATCTAAAAAATCCTCTGGTGATGCGTAGATGAGTGTTCATTATATTGTTCAGCTTTTTGTATGTTTGAAAATTCTCAAAATAAAAATCTAGGGAAAAAATCTACTGCCACAAATTAAAGCCCAGTTATAAATGGATTTATGAGTAGGGATCCTGAGGTGTGAGCTCCAGCCGTTTAATCCAGCCAATTCAGACAAGTGGTAAGGCTGATAAGGAGGACCCAGTGAATGAGAAACCAGGAGTTGGATGTGAAAAGAGAAAACGTGGATACTTTGGGGTGAGAAAAAAAATCTCCTCAGCTGTCAGAGGGAAACAAGCTCTGCCTCCAGGCACTACTCTGAATGGGAAACGGCCTCTTTCAGAGGGAGATGGAGTCGGGTGCCTTCGGGGTGAGGGAATGTCATGTGTGCCAGTGTGAAGTGATACTTTGATGAACTTCTGGCCTCAATTCTTATAGAAAAAGAAATCAAGTTGGCAGAATGAGAGGTATTTAGGGCAAGCACATTGGATGACAAGCTGGGAAGAGGCAATTCAGTAGAGCAGAGGCGTCATACAGTGGCTATTAATACACAGATGCTGAAACGGACTCAGAGAAGGAGAGACGGATGGAAAAGGCAGAGAAAGTAGGATTAGTCAGAAAAATTATGTCTGACATACCCAAAGAAGATCACACTAGAGCATAACATCCCGCATAACCTCAAGTCTACTGGCCATGAAGTTCCTGTCCCCTGCTCTATTTTTGCAAACTCGACACTTTACATTAGTGTGTATCGCCTCTAAGGACTGTTGGTGACTACTTGGAAACTGACGTAAACCAAGTTATCAAGAATCAGACACCTAGAAAGCTAAAGCCTGATTTTTCTCAACCTTAAGGTAAAAATTAGAATGGGGCTCCAGTTATCTCACATCCAGAAATAATAGTGTCTAGGAAGATGTGCACTGTGAATTTGACATTGGGTAAGATTGTTCAGATGTGCATTGGGATCTAAGTGAGCGAAATCTAAAATAATGTACTGCCTACCTTAATGTCACACCAGTTATAGGGAAGAGTTATCATCATTTTTCATTCTTATTCTATTAACCAGAAAAAAATTCTTTAAAGGAGTAGAAGGAAAGGCAGATGGCATCTTGTCAAGATGTTCTGTATATCACAGTTGTAAACATTTAAATAATTCATTATTTCTACTCCAAAACACCAGACTTTTTTCAAATGTGTTTTTCTGTGTTTTCTCCCTCTTACTTTTGCATAGATGAAATGCCATGACATAGCCAAAGTGGAAAAAAAAACCTACAGGAAAAAACAACTCTTCTGGTAAATCTCTGTTTTTTGAGTAGAAAAATTCACTACATCTGATAGTTCAGGTGAATAAGAAGCAAATTTCCTGTTATCAAAAGCTCTCAGCCAGCAGACATCTGAGCTGCTCAGGTTTTTTTTTTTTTTAATGGAAGATTAGCCCTGAGCTAACATCTGCTGCCAATCTTCCTCTTTTTGCTGAGGAAGACTGGCCCTGAGCTAACATCCATGCCCATCTTCCTCTACTTTATACGTGGGACGCCTGCCACAGCATGGCTTGACAAGTGGTGCCATGTCCACACCTGGGATCCAAACCGGTGAACCCCCGGCCACCGAAGATGAATGTGCACACTTACCTGCTGTGCCACTGGGCCGTTCCCACGCTCAGGCATTTTTAAAGAAAAACAAAGTATCATTCAGTGTTCTAAAAAAAGTCGTTTGTAGGAAATGAGTGGAAGGATTCCTTGGACTATAACAAGTGATGTGAATTTATAATCTCTACACGTGGGCAGAGACCACTCAACTGAGTCTCCTATTTTCTTGCACTTCCTAAAATAGCTATGAAACCTGTCACTACTTGCAATTCATTCCTTAACTCAAATTCAGCAAACTGACTTCAGTTAACCTCTACGTTTTCTATGATGTCACCTCTGAGAAAGAACTGTGTGCCAGTTTATTTGGGTTTCAAACATTTGGAACCTCTCTCCCTCCTGTTTCAATCTCACAGTTGTAGCCTTAAGAAGAAAAGATAGACACTTCACCTAATCATTATTCATAACTGCTTTGAAGGCTAGATTGGGAGTAGAAAACTGTGAGACCTTGGGTAGATTATTTTATATCTTTGAGCTTCATTTTACTCCTTTGTAAAATAAAGAAAGAAGTCAGACAATAGTCTCCAAAGTTCTTTCCAGCTGCCAGATCTAATGATGACATATATTTATGTGTTTTATTTTCTGTCTACTTACTTCTACTTTTGTCTTCACCAGAACCACCAATTTTTCCTCAGTGCTTTCCTTTAACTTTTTAAATATATGATGAAGTAATATAGACACAAGTGGATCCGTGTAAGAACTGGGGAGAAGAAAGCCAAACAGACTCAGTTGAAGAGCCCCTGTTTGGAGTAGTTGGGAGTACCAGTAATTACAGGTTAAAGTTATTCAATGCTTACCATACACCTAATACTGATGTGTCCATTAAATATTGATTCACTTAATCTTCTTAATAACTTTCTGAGGTATTAGTCTCACATTACAGCTGAAGCACAGAGAGGTTAAGTCATTTTTCCCAGTGAACAAGCAGTGAATGGTGTTATCAGAATTTGATTGAAGATGACGTATCTCCAGGGACCAAGCTCTTACCTATGACACTAGATTGGGTGGCTTTAAGGTGCTCACCATTTAGTAGAGAAGATTAAACAAACAAACAAAAAATACACCATAACTATAATACAAAGGATACATAAGTGCAGTTAAGTCTTACAGAGCACTATGTGTTTAATGGAAATTATTGGTGATAGAATGCCTATTGTGTCTCAAGAACTTTTCATATGTCTGTTAGGCGTGTAGTTTCTTTAGTAAATACGGAAAATGTGGCTCAGGAAATTACTTTCCCAAGTCACAAAAGTAAATAGCATAAAAGGAGCTCCATCTCAGGCCTGAGAGACCATATTCTTTCCACCACGCCATGTAATCTCTCACACCCATCCAGTTATGGTGATCCCTAAAGGCTTCATTGAGAATGAGATGGGAGATAAACTCTGAAGAAAGAGTAGATTTTCTCAGATGAAGAAAGAGCTCACAGCAAAGGAAGAGAAAGCACCCCTAGAAGAAGGAATGGTCGTCCCATTTGCTTGAAACAAAAGCCCTGTGAAGAGGCAGATAGGAGATATGGCTTGAAAAGGCAATGAGGTAAAGGTTCTTAGATGCCAGACTCAAAAGGTGGTAGGCAAAAGTGAGACAAAAAATGTTTGACCTAAGAAACACATCAGTTTTTCAAGGAAGACGGAGTTTTCATCGCCTGAGATCCCAAAGAAATTTCTCACATGAGACCTCAAGCAGGAAACACCAAGTTACCAGGAATGTGAAAGCAAATTGCCAAAGTAGTTTGAATCCATCAAATGCTCATGAAATGCCAGGCATGGTGCTTCGTGCTAAATAATTTAACCGTAGAACAAATTCTGAAGGAAATTCTATGAAGAGCTGAATTAATATGGTCCAAGTGTGCAGCCGTCCTATGGTCTGCCAGCCAGTTTAGACTTCAAAGATCTCAGAAAGGGAGCTTGATCTTCTGTTTCTTTAATCGTGATCCTTACATATTTTCTTCCAGATGAACTTTTCACTTGTCACCAAAAGCACACAGCTCAAGATTACATACTTTGATAAGCACCGTGTCTAGTGGTATTCTCTCACGTATACCACGTGCAGATTAATCCACATGCTTTGAAAATCAGACCAGAAGATATTACCAGTTGTCCATCACCACAGATGTTTAGCTTGGCTATGATCGTTGGAAACAAACCAACAAAATCTTCATGAAAATAACATCTGCCTCTTTCGGTGAAATGTTCTTCAAAGGGAAACCAGTGAGAAATATTACCTAGCCTTGAAGCCAGGGACAGCAGCCACCCTTTCTCTCAAGATTGTCATTACCTCACCTACCGGCAAGGGAAAAAGTCAACGTTCACAGACTCCTCAACAAATTTAAAACCTGATTAAGGCAACTTTGAATCATATCAAATAAGGTAAGGTAATTAAGCATACGATCAAAATTCAGAATCTATGTAAAAAATTCTACAAAGATCACTTAAACCTCAAACCACTATTTTAAGCGGAATCGGCAATCTCTTATCTCATCATGTTTCAATTTAATTCTCTGAACTGAAGGAATCTATGAGTAGCTGACAGAGTTGCCTGATGGGTACAAACATAAAAGTTTGCATAATGATTCATTTTATTGTTAGTTTAAAATCAGCAGTACCGTTAAAAAAACACGCTGAAACAATACGCTCCTCTCATTATCAGGACGGGTAAAAAAGGACTAATTTGATACGCATTCTAACAACAAACACGGGACTGCAGCAACGCCTGCAAAGATGAGCCCAAGAAGCTCATTCCCTTTCTGTTAAGAACTTGTGATTTTTCTGCGCCACCTTGTGGCCATTATATAACTTCCACACGTAAAAGTTAAAGGTTTTTCTCTGAGCTGGTCAGGTCTTCAAATAGCCGCATTGCGGGAATCTGCCTCTACACAAACGGGCCGAAAATGGTGCCTTTCTTTGTAGCCAGTGATGAGAAGTGGACTTGCGTTCTTACCTACTCCCACTTCCACTCCCACTTCCTTTTTTCCTTAATTCCATATTCTCGGGCCCGCCCACCCACTCACCCACCCGCGGTCCTCCAAAGGCCGTTTCCCCGTTCGACCTCCTTTGACCGCCCCACTGTGCCATAGCTCCCTAGTCCCAATCCGCAGCCTTACTCCGGGGCCCCGCCCGCGCCTCCTCCCGCAATCCCTGCAGCGTCGGCCCGCCCCCTCGCGCTGGCAGCCAATGGCAGCGCGGCCCCGCCCCACCCCGGCCTCCAGCCCCGCCCGGGCCTGCCGCTCCTCCCAGCCGAGTCCCGGAGCGCGAGCGGGCGTGGGGCCTCCTCGGCTGAGCCCTGAGCCCCTGGCCCTGCTGCTGGACTGTGGCGGGCGCTCGCCCCGGAGGCCCGCGGGCCCGCCTCGGGGAGCATGGACTCGCAGGGGCTGAAGGTGAGCGGGCGGGGCCTGGACGAGGCTTGCTTCGCCGGGCGGCGAGGGGCTGGGGGGGCGTGGAGAGCGCGCGGGCCGACTTCGCGAGGCCGTTACGACCCCGCTGGGCCTTTGCCTCCCCGCGTCGCCGGGTGTCCCCGCCCGGCCATGGGGGCCTGGAGCCTGCATCCCCTGTTCTCCCTCCGGGACCCTGCTTTGCGATCGTGAGGTCTGGGGCAGCCTTCCCCAGCGCCCTGCTTCCCGAATTGCCCTTAGTGTGCTCGCCCCACTCTTGTTGTGTTTACTTTTTCTTTTGTGTCCTGTTTGCTTGGAGAACATGGTCAACGTAGGACACCTATCGCGCCTCCCGGCTGCGATTTTTAAGAACTTGCAGCAAACTAGTATCAGCTGCCCGGTTGGGCGTAAAAGAAGCAAAGGAAGATTATCTGAAAACAATTCAAGACCTACGCTTGAAAATGGAGGCGTCTTTATTTTAGGGTGATGGTCTTCTCTATTTGTTATCACTGATTCATACATTCAGAAAATATTTAATGACAGCCCACTTAAGAAATGCTGTGAAAACAAAGACATGAGGCTTGAAAATAAATTTCTTTTTAGGATGATGGTCTTCTCCATTCATTTGTTCACTGATTCACTCGTTGAGCGCATATTGATGGAGGGCTCACTGTGTGTCGGCTAGAAGCTGGACATAGAGATGAACAGGAGCGGTTTTACAGCCTTCACAGGTTTTATAGTCTAATGCTGGGAAAAAACCTTGATCAAATTAATTCAACAAATAGTTATGGAGCGCCTGTGTCTGGCACTGTTCTAAGCGCTGAATATAATATGCCCTGCAATAAGAAAACTGAGAAAAGCCCTCCCACTCTTAGAGCTTACATTTGAGCAAGGGGAGTCAATACTGTGTTAGATGGTGATAAGTGGATGGAAGACAATTTGGCAGCTATAGGAAGTGTTGGGGTGTTTTTTGTTTTTTTGCCTGTCTTTACTTTATCTTCCCGTGAAGCCGTGTCCCATCTCCTTAAATTTTTTTCATCGCTTTAAGTTTATCCTTTGCACTGCCGCCCAGATGAACTCTTTAGTAAAAATACTTTAATGCTAAAAAACATTATGTGGCTCCTCATCACTTAGACTAGAGGAGCAAATCCAAGTCCTTAATATGAAGCCCTTCTGGACCCTACCTTCCTTTCCAACCTCCTCATCCAATAATGTCTGTCTTACTTAAGATTCTAGAACAGCAAGTGACAAACTTTCTCTGTAAGGGCCAGATGGTGCGTATTTTAGGCTTTGGGGGCCATAGAATGTCTGTGGCATCTAATCCACCATTGTAGTGTGAAAGCAGCCATAGACAATACTTTAACAAATGAGCATGGCTTTGTTCCAATAAAACTTTGTTTATGGACACTAAAATTTGAATTTCATATAATCTTCACAGGTTATGAAATATTTTTATTCTTTTTTTTTGTGGTTTTTTTTCTCAACCATTTGAAAATGTACAAACCATTCTTAGCTGGCTGGCCATACTGAAACAGGCAGGAGGCCAGACATGGCCCACAGGCCATAGTTTGCCAACCCGTGTGCTAGAATATACAGTGACTTTTAGTCCTGTCTATTCCCACGCCATCCCTACTTTCACTGCTGATTTCTTATCTCCTTTGTTGCAGTTCCTCTGCCTGGCTAACTCGTGTGCTTTGCTCACGAATCATGGAAGGGGAAGGAAGAATGTGTATGTGTGTGGACGGGGAGTGAGGAGTTTGCAAATCAAGTCAGTTCTGAAGTCCTCCCCAAGAATCTTTCACTTCACTTTACTCTTCCATCCCACACCCCACCCTCATTCTCCCACATTCCCAAAGCAACATATAAACTCTTTTCTTGCATTTCCTACATTGTATTTCAGTTAGTCTTTAGATTCCAGTCTCATTTAAAAAACGTAAGCATTTCTGGGGCAAGAGCCATGCTTTAGTCATCTTCATGTTCATGGTACTTAGCCCAGTACCTGGCACTAGTAGGTGGTCAGTGAATGTCTGTTGGACTGAACAACCTAACCTGAACCAAGGTGGTGGTAATAGGTATGGAGAGTGGGAAGTAGATTAGAGAAACAGAAGAACCTACTAACTGGTTAGATGTAAGGGGTTGGGGCAGATGGGAATGGAGGATTCTGTAGCTCGATTTATGGCTTGGGTGGCAGGGGCAAATGGAAAGATGAATCTGAAGCTTAGATGAGACGTCTGGGCTGGACGCATGGTTTCTTATTTCATCAACATCTGGGTTTCAGAGGAACGTTTTTTTTTTTCCAGAATAGGAGTTTTACAGTATGATATAATTAATCCTCACAATGTAAACGACTAATAGCACTTTATAAATGAGTAAACTGAGGTGCTGTAAGATGACCAGAAGTTTGAAACCAGGCCTTTTTGCCTTCTAATCCATGTCCTTTTTGTGATTCCATGCTGTGGCCTTTCAGGAGAGTTAAAGGTGCTTAGTGACACTAAATGCTGGACAGAAGTCAAGTAAGATGATATTAAAAGTGTCCTCAGGAGCCGGCGCTGATGGCCTAGTGGTTCAAGTTCTACACAGTCCATTTTGGCTACCTAGGTTCGTTTCCCAGTCATGGAACCACACCACTCATTTGTTGGTAGCCATGTGGTGACAGCTGCTCAACAGAAAAACTAGAAAGACTTAAAACTAGAATATACAACTACGTACTGGACTTTGGGAAGAAAAGAAAAGAGAGAGAGGAAGATTGCCAACAGATGTTAGGTCAGGGCGAATCTTTCCAAGAAAAAAAAAAGCGTCCTTAGTTGTGGCAAACCAAGAAGTCATTTGTGACTTTCAGGAAGGGGCACTGGAGGAAAACTGCACTTTACTGAGATGTACTGTGGGGTCTTGGAGATGGAGTAGGGATCACGCTTTCAGTAAACGTGCCTGCAGGGAGGACTAGAGAGCAGTGAGCACAAAGAGGGAAGCCAAGTAAAAGTTACAAAGAATGTGTGCCTAACTCTGTTCTAGAGAAACATGTGGGCTGTAGCCTTCCAGAAACAGTAGACTGTAAGAGCGGTCCAGTCATTGTTATATTTTGATCCTGTCCATCAGTCATCATGCATATTTCTCGCTCCTGCCGAACCAGCTGTAGAGTGAGAGTAGGTGGGTATGGGATGGCCCAGATTGGTTTGTGGAAATGTATCAGATGCATCACAGCCATGGTGAATGTGTTTCCCTCTTTGATTAGGATAGCAACCGAACCTTAGCGATGATCCTGAGAAAAATGGTGTAAAGCGTAGACCCAATTAATCAGAACTTAGTATCTCCTGACAGTGGTTTTCTGCCTTGTAAAACTAAATAGTATAATTTTAAAAAAAGCTTACAGGTAGTAATTTCCACTAAAAATTGTTTAGATCATTTGTTGTTACTGGCAATTATTTGTTGTAGAACTCATAAAAAAACAAGATAACATTTGACAATAAATTGCAGAGTTTAATCTGTCATTACTTTGTAATGCTATAAAAACAAAATATATATTTTAAAAAGAAGTAAGATTTTTTAAAAGGTCTGGCAATGGAAGCGTCTTGTTCTTTTTTTGTTTATTCCTACTTTTTGTTTATTTTCTTGCTTTCTAAAACCTTTAAGAAAATGTGGGCAAGGAAAGAGGTGAAGGTAGCCTGACTTCAGGACAGTTATCAATTTAGAAAAAAAGATTGAAATGATTAGAAAACATTGGTTTTCTCTCCATTGTGCTCTGTATTCCTTATTAAGTGCTATCCTTTAACAATATTTTAAGGAACTTGGAAGAAAAAGAATCACATTATCTAGGGTTTAGATTATTAAAGATTTTGGACTAACATCTGCTTAGAGTATTTCAGAGCACCAGAATCTTTTCTTAATGTTTACTCTTTCTTTCCTTTTAGACTTTGATTAATTACTATTGTCAAGAGAGGTATTTCCATCATGTGTTGCTTGTTGCCAGTGAAGGCATGAAGAGGTATGGTAATGACCCAGTCTTCAGGTTTTATCATGCCTATGGTACATTGATGGAAGGTATGTGCTGATTGTTAAACATGTTCCATAAGTTTTAAATTCATATTTTGCACTAAGAACAATTTTTCACTTCATAATTTTGATTTTCAGGTAAAACTCAAGACGCTCTTCGAGAATTTGAGGCTATTAAAAATAAACAAGATGTATCACTTTGTTCTCTAATTGCACTGATATACGCCCATAAAATGAGTCCTAATCCAGGTATAGTATTTGAGCACAGTGCTTAGGACAATTTCTCCTACTCAGTTCATTTTTTTCTCACTTACCTTAGCATTCAGTTCGGTCACACTCTATTATATATTGTCTATAGATACTATTTGTGTCATATTTGTTTTATCTTCCTGACAATATTATAAATTCATCAAGCACAATGAATCTGTGTTTTATATTCCTTGTATCATATGGCAGAAGTTTCATGAGTATAGAGGGATTGTCTGAATTAATATAAAGGTGAATGTATATTAGCAGTTGTTAAACCGAAATAAAGGACAGCTCAAAACAGGTATATACGTAAATTGCTCTGCAACAGCCAACTTTACAACTTGGTATATGCAAATATATAGCTATATGCAGTTTATCTTTTCTACTGTATCTTAATCTTCTTAAAGGCCTTTACATCCCCCAAGGGGGCTAGCTCTTGGAAGATACTCAGTGAATTTTTATCCAGCAGTAGGATGAGAAGGAACTTTAGATCTGGCCTGGTGGCATAGTGGTTAAGTTCACGTGCTTTGCTTTGGTGGCCTGGGGTTCACGACCCAGATCCTGGGCGCAGACCTAGCGCCGCTCGTCAAGCTGCACTGTGGTGGTGTCTCACATAAAATAGAGGAAGATTGGGACAGGTGTTCACTCAGCAGCAATCTTCCTCACACAAAAAAGGAACTTTATGAATAAACCAGCAATTAAAGTTGTGTGAGCTGTCTTAATATAGAGTGTATCTTAAAGGCTGTGGCACGAGAATATCAAAATTATAGGTAATAAAGAAGAAATAGCACTGTGTTCTTTTGTATATATCCAGTAATAGCTAATGGCCTTGTAAATATAGATCTTGTTTCAAATAATTAGACAATAAGCAAATGTCATAGTATGGTTTTTTAAACATTAGAAAACAATTTTTTCTTAAGCAAAGTGTGACAGGCCTCCTTCACTCCATATGCACATATCAATAAAAAGTTACTTAAAACATTAATATGTTTAGCAAGTACACAAATCTAACAACTAGATGCTTTCTGTGAGGGACGGTGTCAGATACTGTTAGAAGATATAAAAGAATTCTAAGAAGTGATTTGTGACATCAAAGTTGTAATCTAGGTGAGAAAACAAAATGTAAAAACCACAAAGATTAAATTCTAATGTTACTACTAAGTAAAATGATAAGAAATAAAACAAATGAGCCCATAATTAATTGAAAATGGTATGTGATATTGATCCATAGGAATAGGCTAGGAAGTCTTTGAGGAAGATGGGGACTTTATCTAGTCTTTGAAGAACGGCTGGGATTTGAATATAAAGCGTCATTGTCAAAGAGAAGAAATTGATGGGCAAATACATGGAAGTGGTTCAGGATTAGACGCTTCTGTGGATCCCCTTTCTCTGTGCTCAAGCAAGAGTGTGTTTAGCTGGAGTAGAGAATTTGCATGGGAGAGCTGTAGTCAGTAAGTCTGAAAACAAATGCAATTAGTACAAAATATTTTCTTTCTAGAGTGAAATTTTCATTTAATTGGTTATTCTCAACAGTGTTGGTTCTGTTGGGAAATGTGATTTCCAGGACGCTGAAAAGATGGAGGTAGACATATTGTTTAGAGACACCTGAGTATTGACTGTACTTTCTACAATAGATGATGCTCAGTGAACTTGAGTTCAGGAGGGGCCCGGATGTCTGACAGTATTGCCTAGGAAAGGCCTAGGTTGTTAGTGTACATTCTTCCTGAATGCTGATGTAAGCCCTGATTATAAAAGGGCTGTGATGCAGTAAGAACTTGAGCTGATATCTGACGAGACCCAGCTTTGTGCACAGTGTCATAGTTAACTGACGCCCCATTAGGGACTTGACAGAAATCTGGGCAGGAAGGTACAGTGACTGCTCCTACCCTGATACAGTCTGTTTGTGTATCATGACTGCTTAGGAGAATTTCTAAAGGTGTTCAAGTGGGTTGTTGGGGGCGGGGCAGAAGGGATCTTCTTGCCAAGCAGTCTGTAGCCCTCCAGAAACAATTCTGTTTCCTAAACTCATAAAGTTGCACCCTGGTAATTCCACATTTAAATTTATATTTGTATCGTTAGAGTTAAAAGAAAGAGTCACACACCTCGGAGCATTTCTGGAAAGGTAAAGTCTATTAGAATCACGGCCTTCAACTTCAACATTTCTTCTTCCTTATTGCATAACTGATCCTGATTCTGATTTGATCCAGGATTTAGATCTGACATTTGTGTCCCAGCACATACTCATATATAACAGATTTAATAGAAGTGATTAGAGTTATTAGAAGTAGGCCATCTGTTTAAGGGGACTATCGAGGAGTCAGTATTAGCCTATGTAAGTAACAGTAATTGTACTAGCTTTTCACTGGCTTGTGACAGTAGTCTGACATGTTTATATACTTTAAAATTATATTAGGGAGTCAGGTAATTTGAGTTCTAGTCCAGAATCTGTCCCTAATAATTGTATCATATTAGAATCATTAGTAATTTTTCGGGTCTTATTATTAAAGAAACTTGCATATATAGCCTTTACGTCTTGGAAATAACGTAAACTGTAGAGCTCTAGTGTGCATTATGGGGGTTGATAACCACAAGTGGCTGTTGAGCACTTGAAATGTGTCTAGTTTGAGGAACTGAATTTTAAAGTTAATTTAATTATAATTAATTTACTTTTAAATTTAAAACATTGTTGACTCAGTTATTAGAAAACAAGTTTTGTTTGGAACAACAAGTATATGAATCTGCTTTTTCAACTATAAATTTATGAAATCTAAGTACAGATCAAGTGTTTCTGAAGAAAATTTAGTATCTAATTGAGATGTGCTTTGTGTAAAATACATACCAGATTTTCAAGATTTAGTAAGAAGGAAAAAAAAGTATCTCATTAATAATTTTCATGTCAATTTTGTGTTGAAATGATAATTTGGATATATTGGGTTAAATAAAATGTATTATTAGAATTAATTTTACTTGTTTCTTTTTACTTTGATGTGGCTAATAGGAAATTTTAAATTACACATGTGGCTTGTGGTTTATTTCTGTTTGACAGTGCTGATACAGAGAAAAGAAATATAGTCTCTGTTCTGTTAATCCTCTGACATTTTATAAACACTTGATCTAGAATTTAGTTTTCATTTAGTGTCTTTTTGCTCTCCCAGATAGAGAAGCTATTCTGGAGTCAGATGCCAAAGTGAAGGAGCAACGTAAAGGAGCTGGACCAAAAGCTTTGTACCACGCAGGCTTATTTTTATGGCATGTTGGTCACCATGATAAGGCGAGAGAATATATTGACAGAATGATCAAAATGTCAAATGGTAGTAAAGAGGTAGCTGGTTTTCTTGTTTTGAAATAATAACATTAAAGGAAACTTATTTATATATTCAATAATATCTGCTATTTAAATCTTTGTTATTGCCACCTCTAGTCTCACTTTATAAATAACAGCTTTATTTTAATATTTTATTTTGTAAAATTGTGATTCTCTGAGGTCGTTTATTTTTATACTGTTTATTAACTCTTGGAAAGATCGCTTCCTGGTTCCTTCCCTCCCTTCCTTCCTTGTCTCTTTCCTTCCTTCCCTGTGGTTATCTTTATTGAACTGCTCTAGATAGATGACACCATTATTTGCACTGTTAATAATACAAAGATAAGGAATATGTCCTCTTTGCTGTCATGAATGGATCATCTGGTTGTAGCATAGAGCACTTGCCCAGCTACAGTTGTCAGAAAGTTTGCAAATGGTATGAGAGAGGTGTGATGACAGTGTGCAGGAAAATAATAGTTGACAATTTCTTGCTCACTTACTTTGTGCTAGGCACTATTTTAAATACTTAAGGAGTGATCACATTTATAAATGTTAGGAGGATGAGGAAGAATTTCTTGAAGGTAGTAGCATTTGAGCTAAAACCTAAAGGATGGCTACCATTTCCATAGGTAAAGATTATGGAAAAGGGAAGTAGAGACTCCCAAGGTGGGAAATAAAGGAAATGAGCAAAACAAGGAGCCGTGTTGGGTCTGGGTATGGTGAGAAGCTCACATTTGACGGGAACACAGGCTACGTAGATGAAGAGGTTGGAAGAAAGGCTTGGAAAGGTGGAGTGGGGCAAATTGAAGGATTATAATGGCTAGGTACAAAGATTTGTATCTAATGTGAAGGTATTGAGAGGTTATTGAAGATTTTTAGTTATGGTAGCGATATTATTAGAGTGCAAATTCAGAAGATTCATTTAACGATGGTTTATAAGATGAACTGACCTGGGGAGAAGCTAAAATGCAACCAAAAAATGGTAGTACTTTCTGGCAGAAGGTTTTGAGGGCCTACACTAAAATACTGTACAGTGGCTACGAGTTTGAGAGTTATTAAATACCCACAAGACTTGTCAGCTGACTAGAAAGAGTGGGGGGAAGGTATGGAGGTGTCAGATATCAGGATGTCTCTCTGAAGCTTTAAGCTTGGACAATTCAGAGACCAGTTGACATGAATAGAAAATACGTTGGGCTGAGAAGGTAGTCCTGGAGGGAGGTGATATATTTGGCTTAAAACATGCTGTATTTCAGGCCCTCACAGAATAGTGAGTTGGAGAGAGGAGACGAACTTTTGGAAAAAGAAGAAAAAGTTTAGAAGTACTGGACTAGAAATAAAGTTTGGGAATCATCCACAGAGACAATAGTTGAAACAGTTCAAGTAGGGAGCCTGATCTAGTGAGTAGAAATAGCATTGTTGTAGTATTCTTATCTGTCTTTTCAGGTGAAATACAGGGGGTAAATATAATCTTAGTTAAAGATTTGTAAATTTATGAATTATCCTAGAAATTTTTTGATAGAAGAGTGGGTTTTACAGTTTATTATCTGACGTTAAAAAGGAAAATAATTGGGCTAGCCCCGTGGCCAAGTGGTTAAGTTTGTGCTCTCCTCTTTGGCGGCCCAGGATGTCGCTGGTTTGGATCCTGGGTGTGGACATGGCACTGTTCGTCAGACCACATTGAGGTGCTGTCCCACATGCCACAGCTAGAAGGACCCACAACTAAGATACACAACTATGTACTGGGGGGATTTGGGGAGAAAAAGCAGAAAAGGAAAAAAACCCCAAGAAGACTGACAGCAGTTGTTAGCTCAGGTGCCAATCTTTAAAAAAAAAAGAAAAAGAAAAATAATCAACCTGTATCCATCTTATTTCCAATCTTGTAAACCTTGTGGCCCATTGACTCACTAACATTTCTGAAGGTAAACGTACATGACTTGTTCAGTTTTTAATTTCTGAGCCCATTTATCTGTTCACTTGAAATTTACTGGACTAGCCCCAGAGATTATGGAGATAGTTGCCAAATTATCTCAATTTTTAATGTGTATGAAGCAAGCCACTTCTGTCTTTCCGTCTTAGTTCATTTGGTCTGTTTGCCCAAAAAGAGGTAGCAAATTCTTACTTATATTTTTAATTACGTGTTTAACAATTATTAATAGTAATTTACCAGCAAAGTCTCAGATAAGAGTTGTGGTTAGTTAGCGTTAATGGAATATTTGACAAGCTTCTTAATATTGAGCAAGTAGTGATCTTAGAGGCTGAAATTCATAATAAACTATAGTTCCCAAGACTCTAGGCTGGCAAGGGTTTGAAAGTTATTTTACTGCACAGAGTTTTATTGTTCAGAACATTATTTGATAAAATATTTTTTATTACTAATTGCAAAAAAACAATGACATTAGATTTTCCTCCTTCATCAACATGTATTTCATTTCTAAAGAAATGGAGGTATGATTAGAGTTATTCGTTTTACAGGGACAGGTTTTGAGAGCATGGCTTGATATTACAAGAGGAAAAGAACCCTATACTAAAAAAGCACTAAGGTATTTTGAAGAAGGATTACAAGATGGAAATGACATTTTTGCTCTACTGGGTAAGGTGAGTTGGAGTTAGGGTAAATCAATTATGTTTTCAAATTTATTTATAATATATTTGAAACCCAATGAAACTAAGTACTCAAAAAAGATATTAAGTTTCATGTTACTTTTATCAATTCTTATCTGTAGGAGGGTCTTTCATTTGTGTCGGACAATGAACAGTAAACTAAAGAAATGTATTCCATGTCAAATTCCTTAATCCTGGGTAGGTGTCGTTGTCGTCGTTGTCGTCGTCGTCGTTTTGTATGCTACTTACACAGCAAACATTTCTTGTATGTCTAATATGTGCAGGGCATTGCTCTAGATGCTAGGGATGCCCTGAGCAAGATGAAATCTCTTGCTTCTATGGAGCTTGTATTCTACTGGTGGAGACAGACAATAAACAAAATAAATGAATTGTATAGTATATTAGAAAGTGATAGGTACATTGGGAAAATAAATCCGGGAAAGGGAGAGAAGTAGAACTGGGATAGGAACTTGTAATTTTAAGTAATACGGTCAGAGGAAGTGATGTTAGAGCAAAGCCTTATGGGAGATGAGGGTTAAAGCCTTTCCCAGGGGGCAGGCCATACAAGTAGAGGATATAAATTCAGATACCTTAAGCCATGTTCAAGGCATTGCAGGGAGTCTAGGAGACTAAGGCAGAATGAAGAAGAGAAAGAAGTGAAGGCTAGAGGGAAAGAAGGTGGGCATGGGGGGATGAGGAGAGGCAGGGCTGATTCTGCAAAGCCTTGGGCTTTTACTTTGAATCAGATAGATAGGCACCCAATGAAAAGAGAAATAACACAATCCGACCTACATTATGAGGCATGAGCAATTGACAGAGACATTAGAAATCATTGGTGGCTGGAAATATTTAATTTGGATCCTTTCCTTTCTTTGATGCCTTCTAAAACTTTAAACATTTTAAAAAAAATTTTCGATTCAGCAAAAAGAAATTAAATTTATATGTTAGAAAAAGTGTATTAGATAAGCAGTAATTTGGGGAGACTAAAAAAAAAAGAAAGAGAGAAATAGTGTCTTGGCTGTTGTTAATGTCTCCGTATCACCCTTGTCGATTTCTGTGGCTAGTGAGCTTGTTCAGATTTTTGCCACCAGTCGGTCTAATATTCAGGCTGATTGGACTCCAGTTTTACCTACTGGTGCGGCTAAAGGAATTGAGCATTTAGCAAGTTTTTAAAAAAAGTTTTTCTTGATCATTTCACACCTCTCTATTCCTTAAAGAAAAGCTAATTGATAATCTTGTAAGATAGGGCTATTTAAGGTGTTAATGTAAGCAGCTTAAGAGGGATTTACCTTTTTCCTCCTATACTTAAGGTTGGTGTAAATTCTTTTTCTCATATAGCCATTCCAATTAAGTATTTATTTTTCAGTTAATTCAACAGGAAGGTTACATTAGTCTAATTCCAGCTAGGAATGATATGAACCAGATACATAGCAAATTTAGTTTTGCTTACTTTGGTATGGTGCATTCATATGGGAGGTGGGCTATGGAAGTATTAGGTGGGGACACATGTAATGTCTTTTAGCATGATTTTTTTTTTAATTGAGGTCATAATAGTTTATAACATTGTGAAATTTCACTTGTACATTATTATTTGTCAGTCACAATATATATATGCACCTCTTTACCCCTTATGCCCACCTCCCCACCCCCTACCCCTCTGGTAACCGCTAATCTGTTCTCTTTGTCCATGTATTTTTTTATCTGTTGCATGTGAGTGAAATCACATGACGTTTGTCTTTCTCTGTCTGGCTTATTTCACTTAACATAATACCCTCAAAGTCCATCCATGTTGTTGCAAATAGGTCAATTTTGTCTTTTCTATGGTTGAGTAGTATTCCATTTTATATATATATACCATATCCTCTTTATCCATTCATCAGGCAGTGAGCACTTGGGTTGCTTCCACGTCTTGGCTGCTGTGAATAATGCTGCAATGAACATAAGGATGCATAAGTCACTTTGAATTGTTGATTTCAAGTTTTTTGGATAAATACCCAGTAGTAGGATAGCTGGGTTGTATGGTATTTCTATTTTTAAGTTTTTGAGAAATCTCCATAGCGTTTTCCACAGTGGCTGCACCAGTTTGCATTCCCACCAGCAGTGTTCCCTTTTCTCCGCATCCTCTCCAGCATTTGTTGTTTTCAGTTTTGGTAGTTACAGCCATTCTAACAGGTGTAAGGTGATATCTCATTGTAGTTTTGATTTGCATTTCCCTAGTGATTAGTGATGTTGAACATATTTTCATGTGCCTGTTGGCTGTCTGTATATCTTCTTTGGAAAAATGTGTGTTCATATCCTCTGCCTATTTTTTTATCTGTTTGTTTGTTTTTTTGTTGTTGAATTGTATGAATTCTTAACATATTTTGGAGATTAATCCCTTGTCAGATATATTATTTGCAAATATTTTCTCCCAGTTGGTGGATTGTTGTTTCGTTTTGTTCCTGATTTTCTTTGCCTTGCAGAAGCTCTTTCCTTTGATGAAGTCCCATTTGTTTATTTTTTCTTTTGTTTCCCTTGCCCAAGTACACGTGGTATTCGAAAAGATCCTTCTACGACTGATGTCAAAGAGTGTACTGCCTATATTTTCTTGTAGGAGTTTTATGGTTTCACATCTTACCTTCAAGTCTTAAGCATTTTGAGTTGATTTTTGTGAATAGCAAAGGATAATGGTCTACTTTCATTCTTTTGCTATCTTTGGCTGTCCAGTTTTCCCAGCACCATTTATGGAAGAGACTTTCCTCTCTCCATTGTATGTTCTTATCTCCTTTGTCGAAGATTAGCTGTCTGTAGATGTGTGGTTTTATTTCTGGGCTCTCAATTCTGTTCCACTGATCTGTGTGTCTGTTTTTGTACCAGTACCATGCTGTTTCGATTACTATAGCTTTGTAGTATATTTTGAAGTCAGGGATTGTGGAATGCCTCCAGCTTTGTTTTTTTAATCTAGGGATTGCTTTAGCTATTTGGGATCTTTTCTTGCCCCATATGAATTTTAGGATTCTTTGTTCTATTTCTGTGAAGAATGTCCCTGGGATTCTGATTGGGATTACATTACATCTGTAGATTGCTCTAGCTAGTATGGACATTTTAATTATATTTATTCTTCTAATCCATGTACATGGAATTTCTTTATGTCATCATCAATTTCTTTCAATAATGTCTTATAGTTTTCATTGTATAAGTCTTTCACCTTCTTGGTTAAATTTATTCCTAGATATTTTATTCTTTTTGTTGTGATTATAAATGAGATTGTATTCTTGAGTTCTCTTTCTGTTAGTTCATTATTAGAGTACAGAAATGCAACTGATTTTTCTAAGTTGATTTTGTACCCTGCAACTTTGCTGTAGCTGTTGATTATTTCTAATAGTTTTCCGATAGATTCCTTAGGGTTTTCTGTATATAAAATCATGTTGTCTGTAAACAGTGGGAGTGTCACTTCTTCATTGCCAATTTTCCTCTTACTTGTTTTTCTTGCCTAATTACTCTGGCCAAAACTTTCAGTACTATGGTGAATAGGAGCGGGGAGAGTGGGCACCATTGTCTTGTTTTCAGAGGGATGGCTTTCGGTTCTTCCTCATTGAGTATGATGTTGTCTGTGGGTTTGTCACATATGGCCTTTATTATGTTGAGGTGCTTTCCTTCTCTGTCAGTTTTATTGAGACTTTTTATCATAAATGGATGTTGCATTTGTCAAATGCTTTGTCTGCATCTATTGAGATGATCCTGTGGTTTTTATTCCTTATTTTATTAATGTGGAGTATCACATTGATTGATTTGTGCATTTTTAACTATCCCTGTGTCCCTGGTATAAATCCGACTTGATCGTGGCGTATGATTCTTTTAATGTGTTTGGTTTGCCAATATTTTGTTGAGGATTTTTGCATTTATGTTCATCAGTGATGTTGGTGTGTAATTTTTCTTCTTTGTGTTGTACTTGTCTGGCATTGGGATCAGGCTGATGCTGGCCTCATAAAATGTGTTAGGAAGTGTTCTGTCATCTTCAATTTTTTGAAATAGTTTGAGAAGGATAGGTACTCAGTCTTTGAATGTTTGGTAGACTTCTCCTGAGAAGCTGTCTGGTCCTGGACTTTTTTGGGGGGGAAGGTTTTTGATTACTGTTTCAATGTCTTTATTTGTGGTTGTCTATTCAGATTCTCTATTTCTTTTTGATTCAGTTTTGGGAGGTTGTATGAGTCTAAGAATTTATCCATTCCTTCTATATATAGTTTTTCATATAGTTTTTCATAGTATTCTCTTATAATCCTTTGTATTTCTGTGGTATCTGTTGTAATTTCTCCTCTTTCATTTCTAATTTTATTTGTGTCCTCTCTCTTTTTTAATTAGTGAATCTGGCTGAGGGTTTATCAATTTTGTTTATCTTCTCAAAGAACCAGCTCTTTGTTTCATTGGTCCTTTCTACAGTTTTTCTTATTTCAATTTCGTTTATTTCTGCTCTAATTTTTAGTATTTTTCTCCTTCTGCTGACTTAGGTCTTTATTTGTTCTTCTTTTTCTAGTTCTGTTAAGTCTAGTTTAAGATTGCTTATGTGAGATTTTTCTTGTTTGTTAGGATGAGCCTGTATTGCTATGGATTTCCCTCTCAGGACTGCTTTTGCTGCATCCCATATGAGTTGGTATGGTGTAGTTTCATTTTCATTTGTCTCTGGATATTTTCTGATTTCTCCTTTAATTACTTCAATGATCCATTGGTTGTTCAGTAGCATGTTGTTTAGTGTCCACATATTTGTCACTTTCCCATTGTATTTTCTTGTAGTTGATTTCTAGTTTCATAGCATTATGGTTGGAAAAGATGCTTGATATGATTTCAATCTTCTTAAATTGTTTTGAGGCCTACTTTGGTCTATCTTTGAGAATGTTCCATGAGCACTTGAGAAGATTATATGTATTCTGCTGTTTTTGCATGGAATGTTCTATATATATCTGTTAGGTCCATCTGGTCTAGTTTTTCATTTAATTCTACTATTTCCTTTTGAAATGGTGGACTTTCTGTCTGGATGATCTATCCATTGATGTAAGTTGGATGTTAAGGTCCCCTACTGTTATTGTGTTGCTGTTAATATCTCCTTTTAGGTCAACTAATAGTTGCTTTATGTAGTTGGTGCTCTTGTGTTAGGTGCATATATATTTAGAAGTGGTATGTCCTCTTGGTAGAGTGTCCCTTTTATCATTATATACTGCCCCTCTTTGTCTCTCATTGACTTTTTTATCTTCAAAGTCTACTCTGGTGTAAGTATGGCAACACCTGCTTTCTTTTGTTTGGCATTAGCTTGGAGTATCGTCTTGTATCCCTTCACTCGGAGCTTGTGTTTATCTTTAGAGCTGAGATGTGTTTCCTGGAAGGAGCATATTGTTGGGTCTTGTTTTTCAATCCATCTGGCCACTCTGTGTATTTGATTGGAAAATTCAATCCATTTACATTTAGAGTGATTATTGATATATGAGGGCTTAATGCTGCCATTTTATCACTTGTTTTCCAGTTGTTCTGTATTTCCCTTGTTTCTCATCCTGTGTATTTCGGACTGCCAATTCAGTTTGATGGTTCTCTATGATGGTTTTCTCATTATTTATCATTTGTGTCTCTGTTCTCATTTTTTGTTTAGTGGTTACCATGAAGTTTGTATAAAAGATCCCATAGATGAGCTAGTCCATTTTCTGATAGCCTCTTGTTTCCTTAGTCTAAGCAGGTTACATCCCTTTCCTCTCCCCTAAGTTATTGTTGTCACAACTTACTCTGTTTTGTGTTGTGAGATTCTGGTTAAAATGAAGTGATTATAGTTAATTTTGATGTTTTCCTTTCCATTATCCTTAATGTTCTTATTAAGTGTTTGCTAACCTGTTCTGATAAAGAGCTGCAGTTTTCTGATTTTGTCTGCCTAATTATCTCCTTGCTCAAGGATTTGTAAACCCTTTCCTTTTTTTTCCAGGCATGAAGTCCTTCTTGATCATTCCTTCTGGGGAGGGGGGCTTGTGGCAGTGAACTCCCTCAGCTTTTGTTTATCTGGGAAAGTTTCTATTTCTCCATCATATTTGAAGACTACTCTTTTGGATAGAGTATTCTTGGCTGAAAGTTTTTGTCTTTCAGAATTTTGAATATATCATTCCACACTCTCCTAGCCTGTAAGATTTCTGCTCAGAAATCTGCTGAAAGCCTGATAGGTTATTTCTTCTGCCTTGCTGCCCTTAATATTTTTTTGTTTGTCATTGACTTTTGCCAGTTTTACTACTATTTGCCTTGGAGAAGGTCTTTTTACATTCATGTAGTTAGGAGTTCTATTAGCTTCTTTTATGTGTAGTTCCAGCTCTTTCCCCACGTTTGGGAAGTTCTAAGCTATTATTTCTTTGAACAAGCTCTCTGCTCCTTTCTCCTTCTCTTCTCCCTCTTGGATACCTATACTCCTTATGTTGCATTTTGTAATTGAGTTGGATGTTTCTTGGAGAATTTCATTTCTTGTTAATCTTAGTTCTCTCTCCATCTGAAGTATTTCTATATTTCTGTCCTCTAAATTGCTAATTCTGTCCTCAGTAATATGAGCTCTGTTATTTAAGGACTCCAAATTTTTCTGTATCTCTCATTGTGTTTTTCATCTCCACCATTTCTGATTGGTTTTTCTTTATAGTTTCAATCTCTTTTGTGAAGAATTCCATCTGTTCATTAATTTTATCCCTGATTTCATTGAACTGTCTTGTCGAGTTTTCTTGTAACTCATTGAGGTTTTTTATGACAGCTATTTTGAATTCTCTGTCATTTAGATTATAAATTTCTGTGCCTCCAGGATTGATTTCTGGCTGCTTCTCAGAAAGCATCCAGAAAGTTTTTCTTCTGGTCTGGAGTATTAATATACCTCTTCATACTACTTGATGGGCTGGATTTGTGCCTATGCATAGTGGTAGTATCTGGTTGCAGATTCCACCTGCAGCCACTAGGGGGCAGGAGGGGCAGGAGCTGTGTATTCTGAGCCTGCCGCAATCCCTGGCAGCTGTGCCTGTCCTTTGGAAGCTACACTGACTGGGCCCCTTTGTGTTTGCACACTCACTCCTGCTGCTTTACAAATGTATGTGTGTGCAGGCACTCTGGCAGGGGTACCTTGCTCTGGGCAACTGCCCAAGCTGGTGTGCCAGGCGTGGGGAGGGGCACTCTGTTTCACGTGCACAATCCTGGGGGTACTCCCACTCTGCAGTGGCACTCTGCTTTCCTAGTGTGCTCAACTTGCTGAGGACACCCCCGTGATTGCTTAGCCTCCTTGGTATGGAGCTTTCCCGTGGGCTGGGAAGCAATTCTGAGAGCAAAGGCATTCCACAAAGGATAGCCTCTTACCCCCCTTCTCAGAGCCGTGTGCAGTCCTGCACCCTAGGTCTCTGCTGTTGGGGGAGGGAGAGAAGATCCCCTTGCCTCCTTCCACTGCCTCCTGGGGCTCCAGCACCTCCCCCTTCAGACATATGGCTGCGTAGATCTCTCAGATGTCTGTTGTGTTGTGTGACTGTCCTCTGTTAGTTTATGAGTGTCTTTTTCTTAGGGGGAGAGTCTAAGGGAAGAGCTCACTCTGCCATGATGCTGACATCACTCCTGTTCTGATTTTGTTATTTTATATTATCAACTATTTAGTCATATGTAATTAAAAACAATTACCTACATTGATCTTTTTGCTATTATGGTCAAGTATTGAGAGATTTATTTTGACATAGTCAGTGACATCTTTGGGTGGTTCTCATACTTTCCTTTAATTATATGGGAATATAATCTCAAACTGATTTCAGGAATATATTGCTGTTCTGTTGTACATCTGTTGAGACTGGATACTCATTTTGAACTGAGATGTTCCCATACATGCATATATATCACCATTAGAGACAACCAAACTATTATATTGTAAATGATATCCCTTCCTGTCAGTAAATTTAGGTCCACAAATCTATATAATCACTTTTAATAGCCGCTTAAAATTTTTTTTTAATCAATATGGTCTAATTATATCTTGTGTGGACATTTTGGGTTATTTTTATTTTTTCTATTATAAAATAATTCTGCCATAAATATAATCTGTATGCTTCTTTGTGGTCTTATCCAATTATTTTTTTAAGATAATTCCTAGAAGTGACAATGTTGAAGTAGAGGGAGTTGCTTGAACTTTATTTTGCTTATTCTTTAAAACCTTAGCTGCTTTAGTGTGAAAGTAAATTTTTTAAAAGATACAAAATCTCTTTGTTTTAGATGCTATTTGCAAATATCCAGGAAATATTTTATTTTAAAAAGGTAATTTTTCTGTTCTAAAGAGAAACATTCTTTATTTTGTGTTGTTTCCAAAAACTTTTTAAAATAATTTTATCCTGTAACCATGTTTCTCAAGTACTTAAAAGAGGAATTAAAACAAAATCACTTATATAAAGTATCTTTTCATTCTGTGATGTTTTAAAATTTTATTTTGATAAAACTTTTCTTCTCATTATAGAAATGATGACTGTTCCTTACGGAAAACTCAGAAATCAAAAATATGTGACATGTTAAACACTTGTGTTCTACCTATTTTAGGATGACTGTTGTGAGAACCTTGGTATACATGATCGCAGTTTTGATGTCAATTTCTTTCTCCCATTAGGCACAGTGCCTTGAGATGCGCCAGAATTATTCAGGTGCTCTGGAGACTGTGAACCAGATAATCATGAGCTTTCCAAGTTTCCTTCCTGCTTTTGTAAAGAAAATGAAACTTCAACTAGCCTTACAGGATTGGGATCAGACGGTTGAGACAGCACAGAGGTTGAGTAAAAAATATAACACAAATACCTTTGGATCTGGTTATAATTTTGAGAAAAAAAATATATGTGAATATTTTTATCATAAGATTTTTTCAAATTTGATTTTAACAAACAGTGTAGAATTAAGGGAAAACTTCATATTGTGTTGTTTTTAAAAACTGTATTTATTGGGGCTGGACTGGTGGTGTAGTGGTTAAGTTTGTGTGCTCCACTTCAGCGGCCCAGGGTTTGCGGATTCAGATCCTGGGTGCAGACCTACGCACTGCTCATCAAGCCATGCTGTGGCGGTGTCCCACATACAAAACACAAGATGATTGGCTCAGATGTTTGCTCAGGGACAATCTTCCTCACCAAACCCCCTGCCCCGCAAACTGAATTTATTGATTTACATAAATATCTGAGTACCAGTTTTAAGACAGACACTCTTTCTTGCAAACATACAAATATCCCTGCCCTCGTGAAGTTTGTATTCAAATGAGAGGAACCATATAATAAGCAGAACAAATGAGAAATCATGTAGTGTGCTGGAAAGTTATAAGTGCTATGGAGAGAAGATAAAGCAGGAAAGTGAAATAGGGAGTGGAGGGAGGGGGCTCAATGTTATGGGATGGTCAGGGAAGGCCTCATGGAGAAGATGGCATTTGAGCAAAGGGAGCAAACCATGCAGATATCTGGGAGAAGACTTTGCAGAAAGAAGGAAAAGTTAGTGTGAAGAGCCTGAGGCAAGAATATGTGTCACATGTTTGAGGAGTGGGAAGGAGTAAGATGATTATGCTGTGAAGTCAGAATGGAAGGGTGGGAGGGAGCCAGGGTGCCAGGTCATGAAAGGTTTTGTGAGCCATTATAATGATTTTGGTTTTTCTTCTCAAGAGTGGGAATTGGAGAGTTCCCTCTCCTTCCTTCCCTCACTCTTTCTTCTTCTCCCTTCCTCCCCAACCCCTTTTTCTTGCTGTTTTTTAAGTTAAAGAAACCAGTATTTTATCCTGTCTGTTTTCTGTGATAAGATTTTTTTTTTTTTTGAGGAATATTAGTCCTGAGCTAACATTTGCTGCCAATCCTCCTCTTTTGGCTGAGGAAGGCTGGCCCTGAGCTAACATCCATGCCCATCTTCCTCCATTTTATATGTGAGATGCCTGCCACAGCATGGCTTGCCAAGGGGTGCCATGTCCGCACCTGGGATCCGAACCGGCGAACCCCAGGCCACCAAAGTGGAACGTGAGCACCCAACCATTGTGCCACTGTGGCACCGCCTCTGTGATACAAATTTTATTGATTGTCTGCCATATGCCGTATAACATGTTGCTTATCCTCTGTATTGTAAATTGGTAGTGGATCTAGAGGCTTGGTTAGATTCATGTTCAATTTTTATTTTTTTTGGTGGCAATTTCTTCATAAGTAGTGAAGTGTTCTTCCATCAAAGGGACATAATCTCTGCTTGTGCTTCTTTTTGTGATATTAGCAGCTCAATACCTGGGTGCTTGGTTTAGGATTGCAATATGATTATGTCGTTCTTCATTTCTTCGCTGAAATATTTCTATAAAGAAAAATTTCAAATCTGCTGATTGGTTATCTAGTGTTATACATTATATAAGAAAATGGGATAAATGCTTGAGTGTTTTTCATTTACAGGTTTTAAAAAATGAAAAGTTCCCTAGCATCCTCCAATAGTAATGATTAATAGTTTGGGTTTCTTGTTTATATGACATGGATTAAACTTGAGTATTTCTAACTGTTTTGGTTATTATAATTGTTCAAATTGTCTCATCTTTGGCCGTTAGTAGCCTCTTCAAGTTTGTTCTTAAGTCCTTTGGACATGATTTAATAGTCTTTGATAGTTTTCTTGCTGTTTCGTATGGCAAGATATACCAGGGTCATTTTTTGTATTTACTGCCCCAAATAGTTATCAGCCATTGTCCAGGACAATCTAATGACTTTTAGTAGGAGATAATATTTGGAGGCCACAATTTGGGCACTAGTAACTATTTGATGTTTATATTTTTCCAGATTTCTTTTCTAGGTACCGTGTGTGTATGTATGTGTGTTTGTGTTATCTATATAACATATAAAAATATGTGTATATATTTTGGAAGGCGTTTGTAAAATAAGAAATAAACTTGTTATATAGTTTTAAGCTTGATTTTTCTTTAACTTAGTATTTCATGGATATCCATTCACATGGATATATGTAAATATTTATTAACAACGAATACCATTCCATAAAGTGTGCCTACAAATAGTTTATTTAATCTTTCCCCATTGGTAGGCATTTAGGCTGTTTCCAGTTTTTCGTTCGTCTGAATATTACAGTGAACACACCCATATACACACACGCCGTTAGACACATAGAGGAGTATTTCTGGAGGATGGTTTCTCAAATGAGGGATTACTGAATCAAAGTGTATTGTATTTGTTAGGTTAGGCTAAGCCCTTATAAAAATAGATCTAAACATATAACGGTTTAATACAACAGCTTTTTTTTTGTTAGATGTAGCTGTTCTGGTGAGTGTTAGAGTTGAGTAGGCAGCCCTCCTCCACACTGTCGTTAAAGGGCTTAGGCTCTTTCCATCTTGCAACTCTGCTGTTTCCTAAGACCTCGTGACACTGGTATCCACCTGGTAGGAGGGGAGAGTGTGGAGGACTCATTCCACTTTTCTTAAAAGCCCAGGCCCAGAAATAGCGTATATTGCTTCATCTCATATGGGCCACATCTAACTCCAAAGACGGCTGGGTAATGTTGGCTAGCTGTGTTCCCAAGCAGATGAGAGAGAACGGATCTGAGCAAACATCACAGTCTCTTCCTCGGGTATATACATGTGAGATTTTGATAGACACTGCCAAATTGTTCTCCTAAGAAGTTATACTGTTATACTTCCATCAATAGTCTATTGAATGCCCCTCCTGCTGTCCTCACCAAATCTAGCTGTTATCAGTGTGTGGGTTTTTTTAAACAATCCAGTAAAGTAAGAACGATACCTTATTTTTATTTTCATTGCCTTGATCATGTTGATACCGAGCATCTTTTTAATGCTAAAAGCAATTTTTTTTTCTTATTGATACCTTTATGGCAAGTTCTCCATCATATTGTTTCTTTTTTGATAATTTTCTTGGCTCTTCTTTTGCAGTTGATTGTCACAATTAACTTATTACCTGGGGCCGGCTAGTGGCATAGTGGTTAAGTGGGTGCACTCTGCTTCCACGGCCTGGGGTTCACAGGTTTTGATCCTGAGCGTGGACTTATACACTGCTCATCAAGCCATGCTGCAGTGCTGTCCCACAAACAAAGTAGGGGAAGATTGGCACAGATCTTAGCTCAGGGACAATCTTCCTCACCAAAAATAAAAAAGAAACATTCTAAGATTTTGGTTTGAATTGCATTAAATCTATAGATTATTTGGGGTGAATTTCTTTCTAACCCTAAATGATTATTATCATCAGGCAGCTATTAGTGCATAGCAAACAACTACAGATCTCAGGAGACGAGAATAAGCACCCATTTCTCACTTTTGTGTGGGTTATCTAGGGTCGGCTGATCTAGACCAGGCTTGGCTGGGGCCCAGCTTCACATTTCAGATCCAGCTGGGTGGGTATGGCACCCTATTGCACTTTGGGCTCTGGTCAGCCCTAGGGTATTCTTCCCTGGGCTCAAGCCGAAAAGGAGCAGCTACCCACAGGAAGCTGTCCTCATGGTAACAGCAGAGATGGAAGAGAACAAACAGAAATATGTGATGCCCCTCTGAAACTTAGGTGTGGCACACTGCCACTCCTGTGCACATTCCACTGGCCACTATAAGAAAAATGTCTCAGTCCATAGTCAAGGAGAAATAAAGTAAAATTCAGCTTTTGTAGGAGTTGCTGCTCAGTTACATGGCATAAGGTATGTATTCAGGAAGGGTGGAAAAACTTGGAACTAATAGTTGGGTGAACCACACTGTTCATGATAAGAAACCTAGTATGTTACTTTGTTTGTTCAGTTCTTTTGGCCCTTGAGTAAAGTTTTACAGGAATTTTTATAGCTTTTGTATATTTTTTACTAAGTTTATATCTTCTTTTTGGGAGGGGAAGCTGTTCTACTATTAATAGGATATTTTACCATTCTATTTTCTAAGTTGTTTTTACCACATAGGAATCTATTTTAATGTTGTGAATTACGTTAAAAGATTTTTTTTTTTTTTATTATTCAACTGATCTTTGCATTCCTGGAATTCTTGTAATAAATCTGTCTGGTCAAGGTGACTTATTCTTTTAATATGCTGCTGTGTATGGTTAGCTAATACTTCATTTAGGATTGCCAGAGGATTTAATCAGATTGGTACAATCTACTGATAGTCTTTTTAAAACATACTAAAAATTAGGATTCAGAGTTTTTTCTCGTTCTTTTTGAGAAAGATTAGTCCTGAGCTAACATCTGCCACCAGTCTTCCTCTCTTTTATATGTGGGACATCTGCCACAGCATGGCTTGATAAGCAGTGCGTAGGTCTGTGCCTGGGATCCAAACCGGCAAACCCCAGGCCGCCAAAGTGGAGCACATGAACTTAACTGCTAAGCCACAGGGCTGGCCCCTCAGGGTTTTTTGTAGTTTAAATAATGAGGTTGATAATTTTCATAAAGGAGATACCATTTTACTAATTAGAATTACTTATTTTGACAGTGGACTAGTCAGATCAGCAAACCTACTTTGCAAGCCCTCAAATAAAAGAAAATACATAAGTTTATTTCAACATTAAGTGAAAATGTTTTTCTGCAGGTTAATGCTTCAAGATAATCAAAATGTGGAAGGACTCAGAATGCTGGCTCTTTACTATTTGTGTAGGGAGGGGGATATAGATAAGGTAAGTTGTACTGTACTCTTTAAGTTTCCCGTATTAAAAATAGATACAGTCATACACACATGCACATACATTAGAGCCTTGGAGTGCTTTTTTTGAATGTCTCTCATGGTAGGTTTTAGTTGATTCCTAGAAATACATTTTAACAAAGAGGTGAACTTCTTCAATCAACTAGTAAAGCAAAAACATTATATAGTTAAAATTACCCTTGGAAAATCCCTTAGATTGTTATTACAGTTTATGTGGTTTTCTATATAAAACTTCTATGCAATAATGTATATGATTCATGTAACCAGTGATACTGGATATGGAAGAATACATATACAAAATATAGTATTTTTATAATTTAATTGAGTTTGCATAAATTAAATGGGCTTAGGATAAAATCCCGTTGGACCTTACAATGAGGAACATGCTTCTCTAGTCGTGAGCACATTGACTGTGTACTGGATCATGGAATGCCAAATCCAGTCTGAGTCAAACAGTATTATAACAAGTAGTAGATTTGGATTGTGTTTTATCTAGTTAAACAAGTTAATGTGATGGTACCTAGTAAGTACTTCAGTAAATACTAGAAGAATCTTAGTAGGGGCAGCTCTTCAGTAAATTTTCCAGGCATTGAAATTACTTATACTAAGTACCTTAATGATTTTTCTATTCCAGAGAATATTTTAAATATAAACCAGGCTGTATAGGTCATCTAAGGGCTGATCTCATATAATATTAATGTTTATAAATATGTTATTCATATCTCATGTGTGTCATGAATTAATTATTGGAGAGAGAGCTTGGCATGTATAGTTAATTCAATATTATGAGTATCTTTACCTACCCAAAGGTTTCCATTCAGTAACAAATATTAAGGAAACACATTCAAAAACTCAATTCTTTATTGATAATTATTGAGCTTTTTAAAAGAACTTTTAATACATCTTACAACATATAAGATTTCATTGGAAGAGGGAGAATTTGTAAAAGCAAAGACCTCTTTAAATGTTAATAATGATATTTATTAGTCTGTATGTCATGTATTAGTTCTTTTATTCTTGGTTTATTTTAAAAATGGATACTTTTGTTGTAGGCTGCCACCAAGCTGGAAAGCTTAGGAAGTGCACTGGAGGCCATGGAACCACAGAATGCTCAGCTTTTCTATAAGATCACAATAGCCTTCAGCAGAACTGTAAGAGAGCCTATTACATACATGAGCTCTGTTATCTGTAGTTGGGAATATAAAATAAGTCACAAAGATTGAGGCACCAAAGAGCATATGGCCTAGAGTGAAAATAAAATATGTATCTAAATATGTGATATGTTCCTAAGAAAGGCAGTTCAGATGGATACACTTTCCAAGTCTAAGAAGCCATCATGGAGGCCTCATGGAGGAAGTGGCACTTGTTGAGCCTTTAAGGATGAGGTAGTGCCTGCCAGGCAAAGGAAAGAGAAAGTGGTTTATTTTCATCAGAGCATAGGATTTATGACTAGGGCTTTTCTTTTTTTTGTTATATTTTTAAAAAATATTTGAAAAAAGTTTTAAAATGAGTAATAGACTATTTTGGTGGGGGAAATGGTTGGTATCTTATTTTTTTATAATAGTAAAGAAATGTTTTTATTAGAAGTACCCAATAAAAAGAAGATAATCAGAAATGGAATAGAAAAATACAGCAGAATCTTTTTCTTTCAATATTTTTACTTTTATCATATTTCAATTTCTTATAATGAACTATTACAAAGTAATAAAAATAAAACAACAAAAAACTGTAACACCTCTTGTTCCAGTATTAACAGGGTGCTGGATTATATAGCATAGATTCTTTTGAGTTTAGCTTGCTGCCTTCATGCATCATGTGAAGACTCATTTCTTCCACCATTTTTTTACCACTTGAACTAGAAAACCATCATCATACTTTAATTGGATTTGGCTTTATGCTGATGCAAAGCAAATGTAAAGACAGTTATAAGCATGTGTGCTGATATTTTGTGGCAATATAAGTTATAATTTTATAAAATTATTTTTTTAATCATATAACAAAAACAGTGCCCAGGAGAGCTTGGGTACCCAAGAGAATAATCTCAGTTTAAGAAACTCTAATCTAGAGCAACCGGAAGAGGGTCTGTTGCAGCCCCAAACTGATGCTCATCCTAAGTATGGTCTCACAGTTTGCTGGGACACAAGTACCAGGAATTAAATGCAATCGAGAGACCCAGAATTGCCCAGATTATCTACAGTTTTAGATTGTCTGGTTTAGAGGAACATAGATTAGTGTGATATACCTGACATTTAAAGACTTAGGCTAAAAGCAATGACGCATGAGTAGTCAGGATGATGGCCTGGGGAAGAAGAGATCCAGTGACAGCGGGCCACCTGAACATGTGACTCATGTAATGATCCTAATATTTGCCATATTTACAATCAGGATTGGAATAGAAAAATGTAGCAGAATCTTGAAATCAATACCTGGAATGAGAGGGCTGAGAAGTCACTTAATTAAACTAGAAAGAAAAATAAGGACAAAGGTAAACTTGAGTAAGTAAAATATTTAGTAAATACAAAGTTGAAAGAAAAACATCAAAGATTAGTAATTGTTAAATGACGTGAATAAACGGAATTCTCTTATTTAAAAACAAAGATTATCAGATTGTGTGAAATTTACAGGAAAAAAAAATCCCTGATATTATAAAAATTTCAGTTAAGGAGGGTATTAACCTTTCTTATTTACCTATTTCCAAAGTATTTTGATTAGTTTATAGAAATTCGAACTGTTTAGTTTGTTACTCTTAAAAGTTGTCTTCAAAAGTTATACACTTATTCTAACAGCACTGCTATTTCTTGAAATATTTTTGAAGTTTTCTCCAGGAAGATTCTAAGGCATCATCTTTTAAAATATTCGCGCTGTGGCACACTTGTCTTTAGGGAGAGAGCAGATCTTTGTCCTTTTTGATTCAATAAAAAAATACATATATAACCTTTAAGTAATAATTTTCCTGATTTGCAAAATAATTGTGAGACAGTTTGAGAAAAGAGTTCTAAAAAGTATGCCTGTGCAACAACATCGTCGGAAGTATACTTTTCAAGATAGCTGTTTTTTAAAGCACTACTTGTTAGGGTATTTCAGTTCTGATAGGCTGTAAACTCTTGCTGTACTGTCTAGAGAGTAAATAGAAAAGTTATATTTTTCTTTGGTTATTAAATAATTTTATTGTTTTTTTCTTCATTCTGCTTCTGGGAAGTACAAATAATATGTGTATATGTTGAGGAAAAAAATAATCCTTCCACCTGAGCAGAAGTGTTCTAGTTTAACTTAAATTTTTTTTTCCTTTTAGTGTGGACGTAGTCAACTGATTCTTCAGAAACTTCACACGTTCCTAGAAAGAGCTTTTAGTTTGACCCCTCAGGAATCAGAATTTGCTACAGAACTTGGATACCAGTTGATTTTACAAGGAAAAGTTCAAGAGGCATTGAAGTGGTATGAGACTGCCATGACGCTTAATGAAACCAGTGTCCCTGCACTGATTGGTATGACCCCTGTTTCTACACATGTTTCTTGAATAGACACAGGTGATGATTGCTTTTAATACCTGCCACTAAAGAAGAAAAAATGTATTTTGTGGCTTTCTAAAATTAAACTATTCTCCACTATCCACAAGAGAAAAAAATCACGTTTTTAAAAATAAAATTTTTACTTCTTAAATAATAGCTTGAGAGAATAGATTTTTATGAGATAGTTCCTTTAAATTATGAATTTTTTAGTAACTGATTTTACATGGTACAAAGTAACCCATTGTATTTTCTCGCCCTGTTTTCTTTTTCTTTTTCTTTGTTTGTTTTTAATCTAAAACTTTAATGTATTAAGGGAAAAAAAGCCGATCTATTGATATTGTTTGTGTTAGCTTGAAGTGTGGATGCCTGAAATGATGCAGACTGACTGTTTTTGTCCTGTTTGGTTTTAGGATTTATCCGATGTCAGTTAATAGAAGGGCAATTACAGGATGCAGATCAGCAGCTGGAGTTCCTTAGTGAAATTCAGCAGTCAATTGGGAAATCTGCGGTATAGTATTTTATCACATGGTAGATCCTAGCCACTGTTTATAAAATATGAAATTTTAAATGTCTTATTATTTACTAATGGCTTTAAAGGACTCGTGTACACGAATTTTAATATGTAATTACATTTATTAGTTTCCCTCTATGCAAAATTAGACTTTAAGTATTCTTCCAAAGATTCTAAAAATCCATCCAAGCTAACACTTAAGTTTGAACAAATATACACATAAATAGCACTTCATATACTTTGAAATCTAAGTAGAAATAACGAGCTTTATAACTAGATGGAGTAATTTATGAAAACTACTTATTTTCCAGGAGTTAACCTATTTACATGCAATTCTTGCTATGAAGAAAAATAAACGGCAAGAAGAAGTTATTAATTTGTTAAATGATGTCCTGGACACTCATTTTTCACACTTAGAAGATTCACCTCTTGGGATACAGTATTTTGAGAAGTTAAATCCTGATTTCTTGCTAGAAATTATTACAGAATATCTGAATTTCTGTCCAATGCAGGTAAATAGTTCTGGAACTTATTTTCAAGGCTGTATTTACATGATGTTTTATAAAAGATGCTAGTAAATTATCTTCCACATGTTAGACTACGTTGGCATCTTAAAATTTGTATTTGTATCTGTGTTAGTTGGAATAGTTTTTAATCAGAATATTTATGGTAATGACTGCTATCAACTAATAAATGTGTTGGTTTACTAATACTCGTTTGTAATTCATAAAATCTTAAAATCTTGAGTTTAGAAGAACTGTTAGAAGTCATCTAATTCAGACACTCACCTTATATTTGAATTTACTCTCTTAAATCCTCATTGAGTGTGCATCCCACATCTGGATGCACTCAAAAATGCAGTGCTTGTTGTATAACTATGATTATTAGACTGCATTTCCTATGTTAAGTCAGATGTGCTTTGTGTTAAAAATTCACCCATTTACTGGTCCTGCTTCTGCCCTCTGGAGTGACATGGAGCAAGTTCAGGCACTTAACTCTAAGCAAGGATCATTCCTCATTCTATTTATAAAACAGACTTTCAGATTTTGGAAATTAGTTTTTGTGTTCCCCTAAACAATCCCAGATTTTCAACTGTTTCTTTTTTATATGATCAGTTTGAGAACCCTGGTTGTGAGCCTGAGGATATCCTTTATTCTGTCCACCCCTCTCATTAAGCTCAGTGTTCCAAATATGGATTTGGCCTGCAAAACCTAGATTAGATCCTTCTCCTTCCTAATTCTGGATATCCATCCAGCTGTCTTTTTTTTTTTTTTTTTTTTTTTTTTTTTAAAGATTTTATTTTTTCCTTTTTCTCCCCAAAGCCCCCCAGTACATAGTTGTATATTTCTCGTTGTGGGTTCTTCTAGTTGTGGTATGTGGGACGCTGCCTCAGCGTGGTTTGATGAGCAGTGCCATGTCCACGCCCAGGATTCGAACCAACGAAACACTGGGCCGCCTGCAGCGGAGCACGCGAACTTAACCACTCGGCCACAGGGCCAGCCCCCATCCAGCTGTCTTTTTATGAATCGTATTGCATTATTGACCCTTATTGAATTAACAGTTAACCAAAGTCCTTAGATCTGTTATTCGCTGTATCTTTGGACTCTACATTTATCCCTTTGAAATTTTATTTCCTCAGATTCATCCCATAATTCCAGATTACCATATCCTTTTGGATCCTAATTGTCATCTATTTTATATGGATGTTTATTGTCATAGATCATCTGCCTTATCTGGATCTGAGTAGAACTGAGAATGGAACCCTCTGTTGTGTTACCAGAGAGTGCATTCCGAATTGTTATGGATCCATTAGTCGACACTTTTATTATAGACAGTAAGCAGATGACTTTACTTTCTTATGCTCAACTCACAATTCAAAACAGGGACACCGTGACGGGCACTATCAAATACTTCGTTGCTCAAAACATAGTTCTTAGCATTCTCCTGATCCACAGCTTCACTAACTGTGTTAACAAGGAAATGAGGGTAGTGACCTTTCCTTAGGAACCCATGCTGCTTTTTATTGATGATCACATCCTTTTCCAGACCTTCACAATCTCTTTTTTTAAATTAACCCCCTCTGGAATACCCCCTGGGATTGATCTCAGTCTCCCATGTCACGATCTGTTTTCAGTTGCTTAGAAGTTGGAATGCATTTTTCAGTACTCCTGCCACGTTCAGGATTCATTCAACAAATGCTTGTAGAGAACCCAGCACTCTGTTTGGAGCTGGGGAAATAGTTGTTTAAAAACAAACTACAACCCTTGCCCTCTGGAAGCATGTATACTAGCAGGAAGAGACGGATAGTATAATTAAGTAAATTATGTAGTATGTTAGAAGATAACAGGAGAAAATAACAGAACAGGATTGAGGGGGTAATTTTAAGTAAGGTGGTCTGGGTAGACCTCCTTAAGATGGTAAAATCTGAAGGAGTCATGTGGAAATAGGGTGCAGAGTGTGTGAGGCAAAGGGAGCTGTTGTGCAGTGGCCCAAAGGGACACAAGGAGATGAGGGTGGTTGGGATGGAGCGAAGAGGAGGCGGGGAGTCAGAGAAAGATCATTGCACAGGAGACCACTTGTAACTTCTCTGTCTTCAATTCTGAGTACATGGGGAGCCACCAGAGAGTTTCCAGCATGATTCCATTCAACATTTCAAAAGGGTTTTTCTGGCAGCTGTGCTGAGAGTAAACTGTAAATGGAGCAAGAAATAATGTATTACGTGATAGTTGGGTCCCTAGGCCAGAGACATCCTATTTTTTCATAATGTAACCTTTATCAGCATGATAGAGCCTAATTAGCATTTATAATGCTGTTTTCATAGGGAAATATCAGAAATGCACACTTGTCTCTCCAGCCTGTTCCTGCTTCTTTGGCCCTTTTATATATGTAAGGTTTTTTAATACTCAAACAGATGTTATCTTAGAGATTGTTCACATAAGTCCTGTTTTTTTCCTATGATTCAGTCTAAAACTACAGTAAAAATGCTGGTTGTTCTCAATAACTAATTCTTAGGAAGTGGCAAAGGACATTATCAGAACCTCAGCTATACTTTCATTATTTTCAGGTATGCTGACAAAGTAAATATGTTTTAAGAATTTACTCTTTATCCATTACCATGTGAAGAAGTGTAAAATTCTGATCCTCCCTTAGTCGTGTAAAGGGACAAACAAATATGAAACTACTATAGAACTGTATAAGATAGAAATGTTAAATTTTATTGCAGTAATAATTTACAGTCTTTAATAAGTGTTGTAGAAACCTTAAGAAGTTGAGGTCTTCTGGGCACCAGTGGTTATATTCTGAAAATCCTTTTGAGGATGCATTTTTTTGGGGGGGCCTCAACATAGTGAGAAGATGCAACTTTCTTGTCAGTGACAATGGCTTGTTGTGGGAGTGATTGTCAGTAAGAGGCTGTAGTCCAGTGCAGAATGTGTGTGGAGGGGATGTAGGGTTGGGGGGCTGGGGAGGATCATCCTTCAGATCAAGGAAACAGCACTAGTGGGGCAAAGGAGGGAGAATGAACGTTTGATGTGTAAATTCTTAATATCACATTTCTGAGTTGCGAGTGGATGACCATTGGATAGAGATTGGTTGAGTAGACAACCATTAAAAGAATAAACAAATGGCCTAGTGCTGCTTTGGTTATCATATTCACTATTGATAAAAGTACAAAACAAATTGAGGGCATACAGCATGCCAGGCAGAAAAGGGGCGAATGTGAAGGTGTGAGACATTTGATGTTACATACTTGAGTGTGTTCTCCTCTCTGATTTCTACTAGGAAATCAAAATGTGAATTCTCTAAAACCTGACCTTACAGTACTCTAGGGGTAGTGCAAATTATTGAATTGAGTAAATCGCAAGGCAGGTTTAGAATTAAAACTTACGTTGCCTTGACTCTCAATTCCAGCAAGAAACTCTGCCTCTTAGTTATCTTTATTTTGAACAGATATGTTTCCTTGATAAAGTTTTTGAGCAGATATGCTCTTTTCGTATGTTATCAAACTTGTAATTGTATTATAATTTCATAATTATTTTGCTGAACAAAAGCCATTATTTACATAGTCTGTTCCTAGATCCCAGGGAGATAAATTAGTCTAGTCAGAGTAAAGAGATTAGGCAATAAATAGAATAAGAAAAATTTTAGAAAAATACATGGTTTTGCTATTCACATTACTTAATTTGGGTTTGTTTTTAGCTAACTGCTATTATGAACTTACAAGATGTTTTGCTAATTTGTTTGTTTAGCCTGCAAGTCCTGGGCAACCTCTTTCTCCACTTCTCAGACGTTGTACCTCAATCCTGGAGACCATAGTAAGAACTGTACCAGGTCTTCTGCAAGCTGTCTTCCTAATAGCAAAAGTGAAATATTTGTCAGGTAAGGTGTACCACTTAAAATAACCTTTGTAGGGGCTGGCCTGGTGGTGTAGTGGTTAAGTTCACATGCTCCGCTTTGGTGGCCCAGACTTCACTAGTTTGGATCCCAGGTGCGGACCTACACACCACTCATCAAGCCATGCTGTGGTGGCATCCCACATACGAAATAGAGAAGGATTGGCACAGATGTTAGCTTGGCAACAATCTTCCTCAAGCAAAAAGAGGAAGATTGACAACAGATGTTAGCTCAGGGCCAATCTTCCTCACCAAAAGGAAAAGAAAAGTTTGTAATCTGGTGTTCATAAAAACAGGCATAAACTAAGTACTCCACATATATGGAGAATAGTCACATAAAGTGCACATTTTACATGTGTACAGATCAGTAATTTTTGTCCAAAATAAAATTGCCTAACTTCCTTTACTGTTTAATTCTTTAAACATTACTATAAACTTTTGTGGTTCTAATGAATTGCTGGGAAAATACAATTCTACCACTTAAAAAAAAGTTCATCTGATGGTCCTGGAGTCTGGCAATAGTAATTTATACTCTTTAATTCAGAGTTGTTGACTCATTGCCTAGCCAAATGTGATATTTACCAGGTTTCAGGCCCTTATGAAGTTTATTAATTAATTTATGTTTAGTTTCTGTGACTGGTTATGTATAACTAAAAAAACATAGCCTCAATTATAACCTTAGCTTCTTAGGATACAAACATATGTATGACTGTATGCATGAAAATAGATAATCATATGGTTCTTATGTATCTACCTTTGCTGGCTGAATGCTATGCAAAGTAAATTAAGTTTGTAAGGTCTTAAAGCGTAGAAACTAACGTAAAAATATTCTCATAAACAGTTATTTCTTATACATAATGGAAAGAGTTCAGAGATTGACTTTACCATTTTTTTGGATCTCAGTTTTAATTGTTTAAAAAAAAAAAGAACTAGGTGATCTCAAGAGCTTGTTTCGCCTTTAAAATACTCCAGTTGTAAGAAGTGACTCTATAATACCTTCCTCTGATTGAGTTCCACTATTGAGCCACATGATATTTCTACCTTCTTCCCAACTGGAATGGGTATCACCTCCCAGGTGATCAAACTGGGATTTTGAATTATGTGATTAGTTTATTAAACACTCATTATTTATTTTGAAATTTGATATAAACCAGTCTCAGGATAGTAATACTTAATTGCTGAAGTCTCTAGGACTGAAAGTTTTGTATATAAACCCCATTTAACAAAAAAAGCAGCCCGAAATAATTTGAAATAATGATGGCACATGTCTAATAGCAGTATTCTTACTAAATTCCCAACTGCAATGACTTCGAACACTGGCTACCGGGGGTCAGGCCAAACCTCCCAGGTTAAGGGCGCAATCCTCCATCAGACTGCCCTCGCTTCAGACAGCAGCCACAAGTTCGGGGCTTCCCAAGGCCACCTGTACTTCTGACTAGCTGGCTACAAATTTGATGGTTCCTATGACCCCTGTCAGGTTTGATAATTCACTAGAAGGACTCACAGAACTCAGGAAAACATTATACTTAACAATTCTCCAATTCTTTATTATAGCAAAGGATATTAATCTGAACCAGTAAAAGGAAAAGGAGATGCACAGGGTGGGGTCTGGGAGGGTCTGAGATTTGAAGCTTTTGTTGTCCTCTCCTTGTGGAGTCAGGACACTTGTACTTTTCGACACATCAATATGTGACAATACCTGTAAATCATTAGCAACCAGGAAGCTCACCCAAGCTTCAGTGTCTAGAGTTTTTGTTAGGCTTTCGTTACATAGGCATGGGTTGAATCATTGGCCATGTGGTTCAGCTCCCCTACCCTGCAGGTCAGGCTGATGTCACATGGCTCAAAGCCCCAGCCCTCTAATCCTGTGGTTGGTCTTTCTGGCATGGCCAGCCCCCATCCTGAATCACATCTTGAGCATAAACTATCAGGGCCCACCGCAAATAACAAAGACACTTGTATCACTTGGGAAATTCCAAGATTTAGAAACTCTTTCCCAGGAACCGGGGACAGAGGCCCGCCAAATTCTTTATTACACAGGACCCTGGCAAAGACAGATCTGCAGACAGAAGTGTCTTTCATTTTTCCCTCAAGAGAAATTGGGCTGCTCTTAGATAAGAATGTGATGTTTCTGTGATCTTTGTTTATATGGTTTATTTTTCCCAACAGTGATGACCCATTTCTCCATTTTTAAATACTTAGTGCCTTCTGAAGTAACTCCACACATCCTTCCCCATTACCTTTAAAAAAAGACTCTAATCACATTTATTCATACAGCCCTCATTTTCTTTAGTCTCTTACTTGCAAACCCTGATTTTTTTCTATGTACTTTTCTCTCCTTAGTAATAACCTCTTTTTTTAAGTTATCTCCTTAATCCTTCTCCTTCCTAAAATAACATGAGGGTGGTAATTTGCATGCAAATTTATTATGCTTAACCTTCCTATTTCCTTTTTTGTCTGCACAGTCTGAGTGCTGGATCGCATCACAATGAAAAAGAATCCAGTATTTACAGTGTTATGCTTGATGGTTAATTGACAAATTTTGATGCTATATTTAATAAGTTATTGTGCTACCTCAGCCAAATTTCTGTCCATTAATCCTCTGTCTCTAAGAAGAATGTTTTCTGTTTAAATGGATTTCTGTTATAAGTAGGTTGAGCCTTTGGGAACTGGAAGCCCTGACTGTAAGCCTTATTTTATCTATTGAGGGGTCAGGTAAGGGTAAGGGGAGTAATTGAACAGAAAATAATTTAAGATCTCTTCTTCCCTCACCCTCTCGTAGCAAAGTTGCATGGGGAGCTGGCCTAGCTATACCTACTTAAGGCCAATTTATGAGATGGCTAAATGCAAATCAGTGTGGGTTACATCATGAGAAACTTCTAGCACCTAGAGTCTGTGCTATTGTTTCTCTGAAGAGCCTCTTTCTATCGCATCTACCAGCCCAAGGTAGATTTCACTATTCCACTACTTTAATCTTGATCATTTCCTTCTATTTTAAGACTCCCAAATGTACAGTATGTGTGTTTCCAAAACATTTGATATTTCAGTTGGTATTTAAAGGCATTTTAAACATATAACTCATATTTCTAAATCTCTGTAATATATCCTTATGTCTTTTTTGTTATTTAATGTACAGTAATAAAATTTCTGGCCAAGAATGATTACTAATCTAAATCCTCATTGTTAATGTGACACTATCACATTCTCGCTATTTAAATTTCTGTGTTTTACATAGCTTATTTTGAATGAAGGAAATGAAATTATAAGTAAAAAAATTTTTTTGACAAGGAAAATAAAATAAAGATATGTTTATGGGCCTCTCAGTAGCAGTGGTGATCGATTCTGATCTTTTCACACACTTTTCCTGCTTTGCTACTTATGACCAAGGGGTGGCTGACTTACAAGTACATTCTTTCATGCAGACTAAAAGGAAGCTAACTAGTGGAGGTAGAGATTAAACCATGGCCTTATGAATTATGAACTTTATGACTTTAAGTTCAAACGCTGGAACTATCCATAGACTAAATACTTCTCTCTCAGATCTCCATCTCTTAATCACTTGAATTATAATAGTGCTTGTTCCCTCATTAGGTGACACTGAAGCAGCCTATAATAACCTGCAGCACTGCCTGGAGCACAGTCCTTCTTACGCAGATGCGCACCTCCTGATGGCTCAGGTTTATTTGTCTCAGGAAAAATTCAAATTGTGTTCTCAGTCTCTTGAACTTTGTCTCAGCTATAATTTTAAGGTAAGTATTCCAGACTCGAGGGGATAAGACACATAAACCTCTTTGAACCTTTAGCAAACGTTTACATTTACATATTCAGCTATTTTGTATGTTAGCCTGTAACATTTTGCTAGCAAATGCATTCTTGAAGGGAAGAGATTTTGGACTCACAAGCAGTAGGAGAAAAAAATGGAGGCAACTGTGGTGTAGTTAAAAAACTGTATGAACTTGGTGACAAAGGACCTGGGGTCAGTGTCTGGTCTTCCCGCTTCTCTCTCTCTCAGCCTCAGCTTTCTTTTCTATAGAACTCATATGATAATACCCTTTGGTTATAGTGAGCATCAAATGCGATAATGAACGTATGTAAAAATAATTGTAAACTGTAGAGTGTTCTGCTAAACATTTGTGTGTATAAGCATTTTATTTTATTACCTGTTCCTCTCTTGGACCTGGGTTTTTAATAACTTCTTTTTAAATTGATCATCAAAGAGCACCTAGTCATGTGGTTTGAGGATATAAACACACTAGATTTCTATCTAAGGTATTCTGTTACGTCGCATATCCCTCGGCTTTGGGGAAAATCCTGGGTCAGGTGCTCCCGGAGCTACCTGGAGTCGTGGAGGCACTCCTCAGACTTCTGCTTTGGTTCATAGGGTCTTGAGCCCTCTTATGTGAGAACCCTTCAGTGGACTGGGAATTGAAGTTTCAGGCGAGATTTGCATAAGATACTGCCTGCTTCTTGGGACAGTGGTTCTCAGGACTGGTGGTGCATCATACTCCCCACCTCAGTGCCCCCCATCAGTGAATCCAAATCTCTGAGAGAAGAGCATAAGCATGAGTATTTACACAAAGCCCACAAGTAACTGAGGCTTAGGAACACAGTCTGAAGGATGACTGTAGCCGTCTTAAACAGTACATGGCTGCCACAGCACCTCATTCTGGATTGTCTACTTCCCTTTGACGACTCCTTCCTCATTCATTTTGTCATTCTCTTATTTTTTTGTATATGCTTTTGATAGCCAAAATAAAGACAGAAGCTTCATTACTACATGTTTCAGAGTAGTATAAAGGGTAAAATCAATGTTTAACTAAAGTATTCTGAAATTTTTAATCAAAATTAAAAAATAAAGGGAAAAAACTGTTTCTAGAAATCTCGTAATTTTGTATTACTATTAGAAGTCCCAGATAAATTCCTTTCCTGAAAACTCAAATAATTTCTTAAAATATATTTGTAAACTTTGTATTTTCTCATCTATCATGGTAGAAATGCTTAATCACCTTGTTTGTCATCCAGGAGGATGCTAGGTAGGGACAAGTTCTCTGAATCTGATTTAATATGATAAATGATCAGAAAGTTATTAAGAGGACAGAAACAGAAATAGACCTCATGTATACAATCACAGATAGACTGTCCACGTTTTTTGGATTGTAAATTATGTGTTGATGTTATAAGCACTCCAGGGAAGTATTTCTGAGTATTATTTTTTCAGGTGAGAGAATATCCTTTGTATCATTTGATAAAAGCTCAGTCACAAAAGAAAATGGGAGAAATAGCAGAAGCAATTAAAACTCTGCATATGGCAATGAGTTTACCAGGAATGAGGAGAATTGGAGCTTCCTCAAAATCAAAGTACAGAAAAACTGAAGCTGATGCAGGCCATCGTTTATCCATCTTTCTCGAGTTGGTGGAGGTTCACCGCTTAAATGGAGAACAGGTACGTCAAACTTTCATTCAGCGGCTCAGGTCTGAAGTTGGTTATTCAAGTCTATATTTTAATAAGAAATTAAAAAGCTAAAATTATTCCCTGATCAAGTGGTAAAGTTTAGAAAATGTATTTCTCATTACTTTGCGCCAAATCATGTTCTTTTTTCAGGCTCCTGAAGTTAAGCATAGCTTGCACTTGGATGATTTTAAGTATCAGTGTACTTATGTTGGCTACTATGAAATGTTATAGTATAAGTAATAATATAATGTAATATGATGTACTGTGAAATGTATAATATAATGTAATGTATATGATAATATATGATTATCCTGGCTGCCATGACAGGTAATAGTATAATATAGTCATAATTCTGTGAATTCTTAAAAGGATTCACACACACATACAATTACCACTGGAATAAATGAAACTACCAACCTGAAATTCTAATAGTTGAGAAAACAAAAGAACCATTTGATGAATACAGCTTTGGGCAACTCATAGGACAATCATAAAATCAAATACGTTAAAAAAATAATACAGCTAGAAAGAAAGGAAGCATATAATTCTGAGAGAGTTAAAGCCTTGTAGAAAATGAGGAACTTAATGTCGTTTATATCTGTTTCTTAGGTTGCAGCAGCTGCTAATCAGTTATTTTCATATTTTAGTGGAAATTAAGCAGGCTGTGTCTAAATACTTACCAAGTCTCAAAGAATTTGTTTCACTAATAAATTAACATAAAATACATTTAAGAAGAAGAACCAGTTCTATCATAGATAGCTGATTCTAAGATGCACCATTTTTTTCACATTTTAATTTTGCTGGAATCAGAACATCTTATCTCTAGAGTTGAGATGAATCTTAAAATAAATGACATTTTAGATTCACTGAGGTACAGATTTGGAAATGAGATAATATATTCCCTGAGGTACAACAAAAGTGATGTCCTAGCAGAGGGAGTAAAGTAATCTGCTACTTGATGAAGAGCCATTGGGCTCAGTGGGTGACTGAGGACTGGACCCCATCAAGGGGGCGGTAATGAACACAGCTAAGAGTTTAGGCTTTGGAGTCAGGCTGCCCGAGTTTGAATTCTGGGTCTATCATTTGTTGACTTACCTCTCTAAATCTCAATTTCTTTGCTTGCAAGATGGGGTAATAATAGTAACTACTTTACAGGGTTTTGTGAAAAGTAAATGGGTTAAGACAATGCTGTATGCAAAGTAAATGCTTATTAAATTATAGTAGCGGCAACTCTTGTGTAGCAACTGCTGTTTTCCTAGTTAAGAAAACACTTTCAGTTAGCAAATATTTATAATGTCATCTGAATTTAGTCTCTGAGTTTAGTTTTAAATTTTTATACTTTTGAAAAATCCACCCATTATTTCCTGAATATCTTAACTAAACTAGCATTTATTGTTCATTCCGTTTTAGTAGAAAATCCTTGCTTCTGTTGTATTTTGTTGAATATTTTGAATGTTATTTTAATTTCACCTTTACAGCATGAAGCAGCAAAAGTTTTACAAGATGCCATCCATGAATTTTCTGGGACATCAGAAGAATTGCGTGTTACTATTGCTAATGCAGACCTAGCTCTGGCCCAGGGAGACGTTGAGCGGGCTTTAAGCATGCTTCGGAATGTTACTGCTGAACAGCCGTATTTCATAGAGGCTAAAGAAAAAATGGCAGATATATATCTGAAGCACAGAAAAGAGAAAATGTTATATATCACTTGTTATAGGTAAATGCTTATTTCAACCCATTATATTTTGACACGTTTATCTCCAAAAATTAATTCCCAGATTTATTTTTGTCTTCCTTGTAACTGCTTTACAGATACTTTATAGATCCTTTCTTTAATGAATTCTTGCTTCCTTCTCGTATTTCCAGCCATAATCACTCTGGCCAAGTTCCTCACTCTCCCTGAAACATAAATCAGAGTGATCATGATTATTTCAGTCCACGGCTTACTCTAGTTTCTCAGCTCTCCTCCCTCATCAGGTGCTATTTCTAGACCCTGAATCTTCCTGTTTGGGAAAGGAAAGAGCAACAGTTACATGTATTCTAATAGCTTAAGAAAATTGTCTAATGTAACAACAATTCAGGGGCTAGATGGTCATATTTAATACTCAATATAATAGTTACAGCAAAAGAAAATGATGGCTTAGTACACACCACCCTGAGATATGGATTACAGATTTTCCTTGGTGAAAGGGCAGGGGCTTTAAAAGTTATGTCTGTCATGCACTGATTCTCTTAGGAGTTGTTGGGATATTACCCCCCCCCCCCCACACGTTGCTCTTACTCTTCTCCCCAAACAAAAAGATAAAGATACAGCATACACATGTAAGAGAAAATTAATATTTTTATCTCTTGAGAACATAGGAAAATGTTGATTAAGTCGTATTGGTTCATCTATATTATGTAAATATCAAAGTTCTAGAAGCTGCTCAGATTCTTTGTAGGTGGTGAGTGATTCAAAGTAACTGAGCAGCACCCCCCGTATAGATGGATGAACCGGAGTTCATAGATCATATTTTCTATGATGTTTCCAAAAGATCATCCCTAACTATCACCTCTAATGATATGACAGTGTTTAAAATAGGGACGATTTGTTTGAATGCGTTATAAAATAGTAGTGAAAGGCATAGGTTCTTGTTTCAGGCAGATCTGACACATTAGCTGTAGACTCAGCGTCATCTGTAAAATCAGAATAATTAACTATCTTTCTCATAGAGCTTTTGGACTAATTAAATGAGATACTGTACATTTAAGACTCACATTGTTATTTGAGCAATTTTGGTATTTTGATCTTTAGCAGTCTAAATTTTGCAGGTAAAAACGAAGCAGCAAATATTGAAGTAGAAGATTTTATCTTCTTACTTACGAATAATGAAGCTCAGCATGCATAGGAGGACAATAAGTGTTTTTCCCCACTATCATTTTTTGGTACCTTCACTCCCACATCATTTCAAAATTAGACATAATGAAACATATATTTCTGAATAATGAGAATTTATGTGTTTACTATCTATCTGATCTCTGTTATCCGCATTTCAGAAAATGGAGAGATTTAATGAAAAAAATAGTGGATCTAGCTTAAACAATCTGGGTATGGGTATGAGTGGGGTTTCTTACAATACTAGTCTTGGATATGTAGAAGGTACTCTGAAGGCTATTGGTTAATTGAGATAGATGAGCTTACCTTTTATTTCATTGGTTTAGAAGAAGATACTTGTATTCAATATGTTAAATAGAGTTGGTCTGATTTCCAGAGAAATTGCTGAAAGAATGCCCAGCCCTCGTTCTTTTCTTCTCCTTGGCGATGCATACATGAATATTCAAGAGGTAAAGTTTCTGATGCTACTGAAGCTAGATTTAAAGAAAATATTCTTTGTGGTTAGTAGAACATTCTGTTAAATGGAATTTGTTTTTTTAATAATGTTTACTTAATATTAGAAGATCCAGTCATCACTATAAAAAGGATTCAACTATTACAGTAAAAAAGTTTTTTGTTTTTTTTTTTGCAAACTGGCATCCAGCAATTCAGCTCTATCATTATTTGAAATACACATGATACCAGAAGCAAGTTAAGCGTCTCCTTTAAACAGAAGGATGAAGAGAGCTACTGGCTCTTCTTCAAAGGGAAGCAATCCTCTGACTCTGTATCTGGCTTTTATAATGACTGACAGAAATGAAAAGTTAAGAAGCTGTCTCTTAGTTCTCACATTATTATTTTTGGAGACAAGGGCACAGTTAACACAGGTGGAATTATACTAGTTAGTTAGACTAACAGTAGTGACTATCACCTCTCTGAAATTATTAAGATTTCTGGACTTAAATATGTGCTTTGATAATCTTAAGCATCTCAATGAAAAACTTTATAGAAACGTTGCTGTTTAGTGGGATCCAGCTAAGCTCTTTATTTATTGCTTGTTTTTTGTATCTGCCAACATTAGCCTGAAGAAGCCATAGTAGCGTACGAGCAAGCTTTAAATCAGAACCCAAAAGATGGAACTCTGGCAAGCAAAATTGGGAAAGCACTTGTGAAAACTCACAACTATTCAAAGGTGAGTACTTCGTAGTTTGGAATATCTCTGTTGGATCAAATTTTTCAAACCCTGCTCTGTGAGAGGTCTTCAGCAAACACTGTTTGTATCTTGATGGTTGTAAACTTCAGACTTGTATTCACAAACTGGAATTTGTGTTAAAGGCTTTCTCAGTGTCTCAGATTCTTCATTGCTGCATTTCGCAAAGGCTCTTTGGATCCTAAAGTTTACCTCAGGCATTATCTTGCACCTAAGTCCTTGCCACCAAATCAGTTACAATAAACTTGCTATTGTTACATCTCTTTCATTATATGACAAAGTAAAATAGGTGTCCTTTCTGTTGAACCAGTTCTGGTAAGCTATGTGCTTTGAACTTTTTTTTTTCCCAGTGAGGATAATGGATTTTCCTTTAGTTGTTATATTATTGCCCTAGTCCTGGTAACTATTAAACATACATATATATATATATATATATATACACATAACAGCTAGTAAAGTATTTGCATTCAGTAAAGGTCATTGGCCTCTGGAATAAAACCGTTAAAAAAAATTTCACCAAGCGTTTTCTTTAGCTACTTATCCTAAGAAATGTTAGTTGCCTTGTGTGATGTTTGATTCTCTAAGAAAAGTGGTGTACTTGACTGACAGTGCAGGTACGTGCCTAAGCTTCTCCTAGGTTATTTCCACTTGTATATGTGCTTTAAGTCTGTAATGTGTAAAAGCATCTATGCTTGAGTGCCATTCTCATTGCCTTTGTTTTTCTTAACCAAAATGGATTTTGTTTAGGCAATCACTTATTATGAAGCTGCTCTGAAAAGTGGACAACAAAATTATCTTTGCTATGACCTGGCCGAGCTTTTATTAAAATTGAAGTGGTATGACAAAGCAGAAAAAGTTCTTCAGCACGCTCTAGCTCATGAACCTGGTATGAAACTCTTTCTGATTTTAAGAAAGTATACTTGTTATACTTGATCTATTTTATTTTTACATTATATATGTGTATTTATATTCTCAGTATTTTATCTGTGAGGTTGGTTATTTCATTTATTAGAATATCACTCTACTAAAATAAGATATTTGGAAAATATAATAACAGATTTATGAAACAGTCAATTGTGGTATAGGAAAATATTTACTTTCCAAAATGACGTAAAGAAAGTTTTCTTTATTTTTTTTTATTTTTAATTTTAATTTTTATTTTTTGAGGAAGATTAGCCCTGAGCTAACTACTGCCAGTCCTCCTCTTTTTTGCTGAGAAAGCCTGGCCCTGAGCTAACATCTGTGCCCATCTTCCTCTACTTTGTATGTGGGACGCCTACCACATCTTGGTGTGCCAAGTGGTGCCATGTCCATACCCGGGATCCGAACCGGTGAACCCTGGGCCGCTGAGAAGCGGAACGTGCAAACTTACGTGCTGCGCCACCAAGCCGGCCCCAAGGAAGTTTTCTTTAAATTGCAACTTTGTTGTTTAAACAAGAACACATTTTTATAATCTTTACTCAAGTTTTTTTTTTTAATTCACTATAAAAGACTATATATGTACATCTACAGTTTCTTCTGTGTATTCTACTTGCCTTGTTCTCAAACTACCTCCCTAGAGGTAATCATTTTTGTATTTTAGTGTATATTTTATATATGTGTAAGTATATAAGTGTAATATGCATTATTTTCCCTTTCAAAATGTATTATTCTTCCCGTTCTGCAATTTTTTTCATATATAATATGTTCCAGATATACTTTGATGTCAGGACTCCAATCATATCATTGTCTCCACTGGCATCATAATATTTCATAACTTAATGAATTATTTAACCTTCCCCCAATTATTGGGCATTTAATTTCTTTTCCATTCTTTTGATATTATAAAGCATGTTACAATGAATGTCCTTGTATCTCACTTATTGGTGTACACTTACTTATATTTCTTAAGAGCTAGATGCTAAGCCAAAGGGTATATGTATTTAAAATTTAATTGGATAGGGGCTGGCCCCGTGGCCGAGAGGTGAAGTTCGTGCACTCCGCTGCAGGCGGCCCAGTGTTGCGTTGGTTCGAATCCTGGGTGCGGACATGGCACTGCTCATCAAACCACGCTGAGGCGGTGTCCCACATGCCACAACTAGAAGGACCCACAACGAAGAATATACAACTATGTACCTGGGGGCTTTGGGGAGAAAAAGGAAAAAAATAAAATCTTAAAAAAAAAAAAAAAAAATTTAATTGGATAGTATCAAACTGCCTTTGTACAAGTTTGTACAAATTTACTTTTTAAAGTAATAATAAATAATAAATAGAGTAATAAATCTGGTGCTTGCTCGTTGCCAAAATTTACAGAAGTGAATGAAATTTGTGTCCTCTCTCACCCTCCAGGGAAAACCTCATTTAACAACTTGTGTATTATTCTGATCAATCTCCCCACCCCATCTCTCTTTGCCTCTCTTTTACACACAGTTACCTATCGCTGTTTTTCTACCAAAATGGGATCAGATAGTTCTGCAGTATGCATTTTTCACTTAATAGCTTCTCCCTTTGTTGGCAAATATAGCTCTTCTTTGTTTTTTTAGCATAGTATTCTACTGTATGTCGATATCATAATTTATTTGATGTCCCCTACTGATAGACATTTAGATTGAAGAAAAGTTGGAAACAGTAGAGACAAAATCGTTGTTATTTATATACCCCTGTGTCCTTCCTAGAATTGAATCTTGCTCTGTTGCTCTTTCTTAAGGCTAAAAATGTCCCAGCATTATGTAGTATTAATTATGGGAAAGAAAAACTTTAATTTGCATTTCTTTGATGGCTTGATAAGGTTACGCATCATCTTATGTCTATATAGATCATATTTTCTATTAGGAATTTATTTGTGTCTTTTGTCTTTAATCTTTTACTTATTGTGGATGAATTTATTACCTATTCTTCATGTTACAGATATTTTCTCCCAGGCTGTCCTTTCTTTATCAAATTTGTTTGTCGTTTCTTTGATCAAATAGAATATTTAGTTATCATATATGATACCTGCCGTTCTTTTTTTTTTTACTTCTAAATTTCTTTTCATGCTTAGAAAAAGCTTCCCTTATCCTAACATTTTAAAAATATTTCCTTATATTTTTCTAGAATTTTTGAGAACTTTAATCCATGTACTGGAATCCACATACAATTTTTACTACATAGTTTTCCAGATAGCCAATTTTATTTCAGTGCTATTTATTGAAGTGCCACCTTTATCATATAACAAACCTCTTTATATATATGACTCTTGTTCTGAGAGTCTTTGTTTTGTTGCACTGAGTTATTTTTCTTTTCCTTTGCCAGTACCATGTTCACTGTAGCTGTAAAATATGTTGAGATGCGTAATAAGGCAAATAAGCAAAATAGGCAAAAAGATGCTCTAAATTTTCTGATATTTCCAAAGTGGTTTTTTATTTAGCTTTGATGAAGTTGGTGCTTAAATTCTCCTAATCTTGAAAGCATTTACTATATAAAGTGTTATTTGTTCCATAAAAAATATTTGCATGGGTCTATCAGACCTTGCTTGAAACACTACAGACACCTTTAAATGTGGATATTCATTTTTGAAAATGTTGGAGGAGGAGAGATTCGAGTAGCATGTTTTACCTTTTTTTGGTATAAGTATGTGTGTGTATGTGTGTATGTATATATATAAAGTTTATGTAATATAAATACTTTGATTTAATAAATATTTGCTGAGCACACCCTATGGTATACTTAGATACCTTTGTGTCCATTTCATTATATATTATTTCATTAATGCTCACATTAGTTTTTGAGGTATATATAATTGTCCCCACTTTATTTACTTTTTTTGAGGGAGATTAGCCCTGAGCTAACTGCTGCCAATCCTCCTCTTTTTTGCTGAGGAAGACTGGCCCTGAGCTAACATCCATGCCCATCTTCCTCTACTTTATATGTGGGACGCCTACCACAGCAAGGATTTGCCAAGCGGTGCCATGTCCGCACCTGGGATCCAAACCAGCGAAACCCAGGCCCCCAGGCCGCCGAAGCAGACGTGCACTTAACCGCTGGGCCACCAGGCTGGCCCCATCCCCATTTTAAAAGTAGCAATCTAAAACTGTTTTCTTGACCTATCCAGGTGCATCTGGTTGATAAATAGTAGCAGCTGGGTTCTAATAAACATCTTAAACTTAACTAACATAACATCACTTACCATTATATAACCATCTAAAACTGAATTCCTGATCTGCCTCCCATTATTTTTTCCGCATGCAACCTTTTTCATCTCAGTAACAACTTCCTCCCTCTTTGTAGGTGCTAAGAGCTCAAATCCTTGCCTTCACCCTTGCCCTTACCCTTAGGAGATCCTCTTGATTCTACCTTCCAAGCATGTTCATAGTCCTATCGTGTCTCACTCTTTCTAATACTTGTCTGCCCTTGTCCAAGCCACCATCGTATCTTAAGTGAACTATGGCAGTAGCCTCCCAGCTGGTCTTTCTGTTGCTACCCTCAGCTCCACACCCCTGCCCCTGCCTTTCTCAACGCAGCAGCAGCATCGAGCCTTTTACACAATGTAAACCAGATTATGTTGCCCCAGCGCACCGTTGCCTCCCCTTTCCCTCAGAGTTAAGCCAAAGCCTTCACAGTGGCTTATGTGGTGGTTCACGTGTGTGCGCCTGCTCCCCTGACCTCTCCTGCCCTCCTCTCAGCACTGTTACAGCCTCCTTGTTGTTCCTTGTGCTACCTTAGAGCTTCTCTTACCTGTAAAATGGCAGTAACACAACCTGCCTCTTGGGTGGAGATTTTAAAGAAACAATGTATATATAAACCACTTTGAACAGAGTATTGCACATGTGGCATGGACCATGCTCTCAATAAATGGTGGAAGAAACATGTTTTTGTTAATTATCTAGGGTTCTTTTATTACTCTTAAATTACAAAATAGTAATACCAAATACTTATAGCACTTACCATGTACCAGGCTTTATTTTAATTGTTTTGCATATGTTAACTTATTTAATAAGTTACTAACTTTATAATTTTACGAGTCTTTGAGATAGACACTATTATTTCCCCTATTTTACAGATGAAAGGGAGGCACGGAATGGTTAAGTACCATGTTCAAGGTTAAATAGCTAGTAAGTGATGAAGCCTAGGTTTGAAACCAGACCGGTTGGCGTCAAAGTCAGTGCTCTTAATGATTATTTATTTTATTTATTTTTTTTTAAAGATTGGCACCTGAGCTAACAACTGTTGCCAATCTTTTTTTTTTTTTCTGCTTTATCTCCCCAAACCCCCCTGTACACAGTTGTATATCTTAGTTGCAGGTCCTTCTAGTTGTGGGACGTGGGACGCCGCCTCAACGTGGCCTGACGAGCGGTGCCATGTCCTCCCCCAGGATGCGAACCCTGGGCCGCGGCAGCGGAGCGCGCGAACTTAACCACTCGGCCATGGAGCCGCCCCTGATTATTTATTTATATATACTATACTTTATTGCTTATCAGTTATCTCTTATTTTAAAAATGCCACTTGTCTTCTTAATTGCATGTAGCAACCACTCTATCTTGTCTTTTAATGACTTCAATAAACAAATTTTTGTACACTTAAGAATCAAATTGAAATTCTTATTAGTGTTGTTACATTGTTATCTCTTAGTATAAATCTAACGAAAAAACTCCAGTTATTATCCAGTTCTGTAACTTTTCTTCCAGCCCGTTTTTATCCTAAATTTGGCCATTCTTCACTTAACTGACTAAAAATTTTTTAGCTTTATTCACTATTTTTCAAAATCATTCTTCCTACAGACCAGTCTTAAAACTTGTAGAAAAATGTAAACATTTATTTAAAATGAGTATTTTCTCCCCAATGTACTCTATTCTTTCATAGTAAATGAACTGTCAGCTCTCATGGAAGATGGACGTTCTCAAGTTCTGTTAGCAAAAGTTTACAGTAAAGTGGACAGAACTAGCGATGCGGTCACTTCCTTACAACAGGTAAACGCGTTTGTCTGTCACTGTGGTTGTGGGGGCAGATGAGCGCACGGGGGATCTGCCGCATGTAGGAGGAAGACAATCTCTTTTGGCCCAACTGTCACAGAAAATAAGTCAAAATAGAAATAATGATTGAATGCTGAGGGATCGTACTGCTTATAAGTATATTATTGGTAATTATAACAACAGAGAAGTTTGGTATTTTTAATTCTCTTTTACAGCTGAGGAAGCTTAGTGTAATAACTTACATGAAGTCACATGACTGGTGTCACAGGCAGGATTTGAACTCACTTCTTTCTTCCATTTGTTTGTTTATCTTCTTTAATTTCTCTAGTATTTTGTGGTTTTCAATGTGGAGTTTTTCCACACATTTCCTTGGATGTATTCCTAAGTAGCTGATGTTTTTTGATAATTTTTCAATTTCTAGTTTGCTAACAATTTTTTTTATAAATGATTTACATTGTATCTAATACACTCTCTGCATCAACATGATCATGTGACTTTTCTCCTATTTTTTTCTCCTATTTTTTCCCCTGTTTATGTGGTATATTAAATTGATTGATTTTAAAATGTTACATAATGCTTATATTCTGGAAATAAATGTCACTTTGCTGTGATTTTTTTTAAAAGATGATGCTGGAATTTAAAGAAATTTGCTAATATTTTGTTCCAGATTTGTGCATATATGTTTGTGAAAGAGATTGGTCTCCAAGACTCATGTTATTTCTTTAATGTTTGGAACAATTCAATATTAAAATTTATTAGATTTGTATTAATGGATTCAACATCTTTGATAGATTTCAAACTGATAATTTTTAAATTTCTTCTTATGTGAGTTTAGATGGGTATATTTTTAAAGTGATTTGTTCATTTCATTGTCAAATTTATTGACATAAATTTGTTCATTATATCCTCTTATCTTTTGAATGTCTGCAAGTACTATAAAAGTGTCTTCTTTTATAGTCCTGACATTAGTAATTTTATTTGCCTTCTATTATTAATAACCAATTATGCTAGGGGTTCATTATTTCAGTATTTTCAAAGAAGCAACTTTTGCCTTTTCTGACTTCATTATATGTTTGCTTTTTACCTCATTAGTTAGTTTCTTCTACTTTCTTTGGATTTGGTTTGCTGATCTTTTTCTAGCTTATTGAAATAGTTTGTTAGGTAATAGACTTTTAGCCTTTGTTCTTTTCTTATTCATTTAAGGTGATAAATTTCTCCCTGCGCCCTGCTTTAGCTGCATCCCACAAGTTTTTTTTATTCAGTTCAAAATATCTCGTCATTTCCACTTTGATCACTTTTTGGCCCATGGGTTATTTAAAGTGTAGTGTTCAATTTCTAAGCAGTTCCAATTTTCTTATCTTTTTGACATGATTTCTGGTTTAATTCCACTGTAGTCAAAGACACACTTTGAATGATTCAGTCCTTCAAAATTTGTTAAAGCTTGCTTTATGTCCTACATTATAATCAATTTTGCTAAAGATTCCCATGTAGATTTGAAATAATGTGTTTCTGGCATTACTGAGTGCTTAGTTCAACATATGTCAATTAGGGCAAGTTTGTTAATTGATTTGCCCTACATCTTCTCTGACCTTGAAGTAGAACATAAAGCACCTCACTACTAATCCTATATGCTTTCCAGAATATCATACTAATTGCCACATTTTGACCTGATTTTCATGTACCCAGCATTCTGCAGATAATTTATCAAATGTTACGGTGTTGAGCTTTAGCTAACAGGGATTAATACATACATACATACATACATACATACATATAAAAATGACTTCTGTTTTAGCAGCAATGTCCAGTAATTTTTTTTGTTCTAATTGTGAATGAATTGAGCTTGGACTACTAGATTTCCCTGATACCCATCTAAGTTTACAATTTCATTAAAATATGGAATTTTCAACAATGTTAATATCTTATCCTTAATTGTTCGTCTGTTTTATCTTTGTTTTCTGAATCACATGATAGAGAATTGCATCTACCCTAGGTTAGCTACCCTTAGTTGCAAGGAAAGTGTATTTTGGTAAATTTAGACTTTTAAAACATTTAGAAGTGAATTTGGCTTATTTCACCCCTTTATGAATAGCATTAGTCCTAGCCCCCTGGTTGCATGAGTTCCTATGTTATATGAGCAGACACATTGAGCAACGCTAAAAAAAGAGAACAGTGTACCATGGCTTGTCAATGCCAACAAACCAAAATCTAGTTTTAAATTTGTATGGTATAGCACAGGGATTATTCATCTTTAATAACATTTGAAGAGCCATAAAATTCTTCCTAACTGTAACATTCTAGGCATTCTAATCTCCAAAAAGACAATTCTCAAGGTACAGTTCAAACAGAAACTTGTAAGTGTAATCAAAGTTTTTGATATTTTAAATTCATTTATTCAGTAACCATTTATTGAGGTTAATTCTCCATATTATGGAATTTAGGAGTTCCATCATAGTATTTTTGCATTGTTGCTAAACATTTTAGGCAGTAGCAAAATTGGTAAATTTTAGGGAAATCCAAAGTTTTATTAATTTTCTTTAAAAAATTTCATATTTCTGGAATAATTCCACATTTCTTCATCCCTCTCTGTCCTCTCTTAGCACTATGCATCATTATCTTTTGTCCAGACTCCTCTGGTAGCCTCCTAATTTATCCTCATCCTCTTCCAATCTTGTTTCCTTCCAGTCAGTTCTCCACAACACCAGGGTAACCATTCTAAAAGGTGGACCTATCCCATCACTCCATTGCTTATGGACATGTATCAACATCTTCTCGTTGCTTCTAGAATTAAACATAAGTTATTTAACAGACTTACCTATTGTAAACTCTATCTTTCCAACCATTTTTCCTTCCAATTCTTTGATCAAGCAGTAGTATCCCTTGCCTTCTTCCCTTCACATGTAATTCCTAATGCCTATATCCCATCCTCTCTCTCTTCCTTCTTCCAGACTCACAAGGGTGTAAATACCAGTCATTCTTCAGATCTTGCCTGAGCTCCAAGACTGGGTTAGGTCTCCTATTGTGTATTCCCATGGCGACCGATATTTCCCGGTTATAAAACTCCTGATAATTTGCTGTAATTATTTTTATTGTCTACCTCCCTGCTAAAATTAAAATTTCCATGAGTGTAGGCATGGTACCCTAGCAAATGCTTGCCTCATCACAGGTCATTTTAGTTTTCTATGCTGTGTAACAAATTACGACAAATTTAGTCGATGAAAACAATACATACGTGTATTTTCTCACAGTTTGTGTGGTCAGGAGTCTGGGCATGATTTAGCTGGGTCCTCTATGAGGTGTCAGGACAGTCAAGGTGTGGCCAGGGATGGGGTCTCAGCTGGGGTCTTGTCTGGGGGAGGGTCTGCTTCCAAGCTTACAGAGATAGTTAGCAGAATTCATTTCCTCAAGGCTGGAAGACTTAGGGCTCCAGCTCTTGTTTGCTGTTGGCTGGATGCCACCCTCACATCCTACAGGTTCCTCAGCTCCTTGCCTCCTGGGCCAACAATCTGGCCACTTAGTTCTTCAAAACCATCAAGAGTATGTCTGCTAGCAAAACAGTCTTGTATAACGTAATCATGGGAGTGACATCCATCATATTTGCACTATTCTATTGGTTACAAGCAAGTTACAGGTTTCTCTACACACAAGGAGAGGTGGTTGTACAAGAGAGTGAACTCCAAGAGGTGAGGATCAAGGGAGCTACCTTAAAATCTGTCCACTGCAGTAGTGCTCAGAATTTTTGTTGAATGACTGAAAGGAAATCATAAGTTATTTTAACTGTTTAATTGCAGGTACAATTACAGGAAAAAAATCACTGTTTAGTATATTAACTCTTTTAATAATAAAAATAAAATATAAATAAATCAGAAGTAAACTATATGTCATAAAACACTAACAATTTTATGACTATAACTTACGTAATTTTAATGATTATGTTCATATTATATTTGTTTTTATTCTTTCACTTAACATTCATTTGTATAGATTTTTACAGTATATCCGGATAGCTCCATCTTTATCGTTTAAAAATGTCATATTCTGATTTTATTGTTATATTTTATTTTGAGGTGATCTTTAGTAAGATGTGTATAATAAGGCTATTGAAATAGAAAGGGAAAAATTAAGAAGTCTATGAAATAAGATGTTTATATCTATACTTTCTTCAACCCAAGGGTTTGAGGGAATTTATAAGAATACATATTGTAAATTAGGAAGGGAGAAGGAAAAGTAAATGCGTTGACAATCAAGGTTGATATAGTTATTGTAACAGATAATTAAATTTAGCTCTGATCTTTCTGGAAACCAAGGAAAAAACATAGGGAATTTTATCAATTCTTCAAGAAAATTTTATTCTGTATGAAAATGTTTCTTAATGATCATTGTATATACTTAGAGAAATTGAGTATTCTTTCATGAAATGTCTTTAATAGAAAAATTCAAGAAACTTTGCTCAAAAAAATCTCCCCTGATTATTTTTTAAGAAAATGGCAAAGCATCGCATGAAAATCTAACTCATAAATGTGTTTCTTTAGGAAGCTACGCTAAGAAGGTGCACATATTTGACTTGTGGAGATTTAGTTGTTGCAGAGATAAAACTCAGACTATCTAGAGGGTGAATTGCTTATCCTTTAGACCTAGGGTGACCATATAATTTATCATTCAAGCCAGAATACTTTTGAGAGGGAAAGAAGACAGCAGTGATAATTTAGCTGGTGCTTGCTTTGGCAGCACATATGCTAAAATAATTAAGCTGGCTCGACAGGGATAAAAGGGTACAGTCTCAGCTGGATGGAGAGGTACAATCATCCTATTTAGACCAACTGAGAGTGTATGTGCACAAATCATGCACACAGATATATGCATATATATAAAACCAAATGCACAAGTATATATATACCTGTATGCTTATTTAAACACATTCATATAACCAAAATTTAAATATGCACATTTTAAGACATCAAATACACAAAGCTATGCATACCTCTATAGTTATATAAATACAACATTAATATAACCAGAATTAAAATTTCATGAAACAGTATTAACCTTTACCACATGCTATGTGCACTAATATTTTCTAATCTGTTCTCCTTCATTTCCAAAAGAATGTTTATTACAGTGTCCTAAAATAATAATATGACCTGTGGTTTCAAAAACACTCAACTTTAAACCCTCTTAATCAGAGACCAATTGTCAACCAACGTTTTGACACAAGTCCCCAGAAGGGCTCCCTGTGTGTAGCATAATGTGTGGCAGATGGAGGGCATCTACTGTTTGTTAAATGAATGCATGAATGCATTAGTGAATGATTATCTCTAGCTCAAAGTTAAATTTTATTGTGAAAGCCTATGCATGGGAGTTCTCTGTCACTTATTAAAGGAAGGTCTCATTGTTTCAGAAACCAGATGTGTGGGTTGAAAGGCTGAATTCTCTCAATTTAGCAACCTTTTGTACATTCTTACCCTGAGGAAGGCCCTTGCCTCTTTTTGGGGTGTCTCTGCACAGCGTAGGACCATATATATAGACTGTTAGTTGATTAGCTATTTCCCTATCATTAGACATTTGGGTTGCTTCCAGATTTTTTGTTTTTGTTTTGTTGTTTCTTTGTTTGTTTTTATAACAAATAACAGAGATTGTTTTTTTCTTTATAACAAATAACATGTTTCCTTTTTGCCTTCTAAGTAATGTCCTTAATACTTTAGCAAGAGTGTAAGTTAAGTTCAACAGCCTGGTTATTTTTATCGAGTTAGCATGTTTTGCTGGGGTGCTCCCAGAAATACAGGGCTAATTTATATGCCGTCAACAATTTGTGGATGTACTTACTGCCTGAAATGTGCCAATGTTTGATTTAATAATTTTTAGATAGCACTTTAATAAACATTTTTAAAGTTTCATTTGTTTAATTACAGCATCTAGACATCTTTTCCAAATATTGTTTCATGGTTGCATTTCCTCCTTAGTGAGCTTCCTGTGCATATCCTTATAACAGTGGGCCAGGACTCAGTGATTTTATAGTACTCCAGTTGGAAACCTATGTGCACGCTGACTCATTTGCAAACAAGTGCATGTTTAAGACCTCAGTTAAGACATTTTCTTTGGATCAGGCTTTGTTAGATCGAGGGCCAATAATGCTTAAATAAATCTTCTGTAAAATTATGCTCTATGTGCGTTATTGAGAATGGTTTAATTTCTTTTCTATTTCTTTTTTTAATTCCTTTTTATCCTTATTTTTTTCTAGGCTCGAGAATTACAAGCTCGGGTACTAAAACGTGTTCAGATGGAACAGCCAGACGCAGTTCCCGCTCAGAAACATTTAGCAGCTGAAATTTGTGCAGAGATTGCAAAACATTCTGTTGCTCAGCGAGACTATGAAAAAGCAATTAAGTTTTATAGAGAGGCTCTTGTTCATTCTGAAACAGATAATAAGGTCAGTACCTTTATGAAATTTTAAGCACCTTTTTATTCCGGATGTCATCTAATTTACCCAAATGCAAAATTCTTACCAGCTTATTTATAAAGAAGATTTGGAAAGAAATGTAACAAAAATGTAAGTTAAAAAATTAATATTCTTTGTAGAAATCCTTCAAAATACTTACCTGATACCTTAAAATGATAATGGTGGAGTCTAAAAATTATTCTGGAATGAGTAATATAAAGTAAAACTATAAGCTCTTTGTTTTTAATAGTCATCAGAGGTAGGGCAAAAATAACCTTTGTTAAGGCATAACCAAACAGGTACTTTGTTCAGTGGGACTAAAGGAGCTGGAATTCTACTTTTAAATCTGAAGCATTCTTTAGAGATTATCTGCTTCGAGCATCTTATTTTACAAATGAGAGAACAGGTTTAGAGAGGCATAGGGACTTGGCCCCATCAGGGAGAAGCTCAGACTAGAATCTGAGCTCCTGATTTAAGACCACTGTTCTTTTCATAGTGCTTTGTGTCTCTCTGTTTTTCAAGTGAGTTACCATCAGTTTTTTCATTTTTTTTGCAAGGTAAGAGAAAATGAGATGAGCATGCCTATAGTTTTCCTGCCTGTCATGCTTGGCAACTAAAGTTAGTCAGCTAAAAGTTTAATCTGTGTTCAGACATTCTGCTCATCACTTTTTATTCCAAACAGTTTCTCCCCAGTCTTGCCCCTTTTTCTCTATAGATCATGTTGGAGCTGGCAAGATTGTACCTGGCACAGGATGACCCTGACGCCTGCCTGCGGCATTGTGCTCTGCTTCTCCAGAGTGACCAGGACAACGAAGCTGCCACCATGGTTAGTCCAAGAGACTTCAGTGCTGTGGAGGCACTTGTGTTTTATGTTCCATCTGGAAGTTTCAAATTTTACCTGATAAAACTAATGCTAGATGAGAGGCCTGGCTCATGCAGCTTTTGGAGGAAACAACATTTTTAACATTATTATACATTTTACCAATAAAGACCAAGACTTTTTTCATTTTATAAGAATGATAAACCTAGGTCAGGCCTTTACTTGCCCTTTTGGGCCTAGTTAAGTTTTCTTTATGCCTAAGAGGATGCTTGGTCAGGCAGAGTTCTGTCGTCAAGCTATAATCTGCTAAAGACTAACTTTTAAGCGCTTGCTCAAATGTGCTGGACTAATTTAAAAGCTTTAGTGGGACTTTTGGAGTTACAGAAAAAAAGCTTCATGTATCATTCTAAGATGGTGTGTTTTAAGTAGAATTTTGTTTTTCTTTCTCATTTTTCCCTGGGTTGAGGTATTTGTTAGCGTTCCAAACAAGCTACACAGATGACAGTTTGTAAGATTCATTCAAAGTTACTATAAGTAAAAAGAAATATAAGAAGCCTCCCTTTTAAAACACATTATAAGAAACTCCCAGTATGTCTTGCTCGTTTTAATCCTTTGAAATATTTAGGATTTGAATGTTTTGTTTTTTTAAAATCTTCTCATTATAATTTTAGCGACGTCTAGTGAGGCATCTTTTCTATGATAGCACATGGAATGTGCAGTTCCCTTCAAGGTTCTGTTTTTAAAATAACCACTTGAAACATATTTTCTGCTAAAAATATAGTTTTGCAAACAGAGTGATCTGTTTCACATCCTTGATTATCTTTTGTTACGTCCATCTCAGTGCTAATCTGTTGAAGGTGTACTTGAATTTTAAATAGCTCCTTTTTATAAACTTTGCCCTCCTCATGTTTTTCATATGTGTTTTCATAGTGCTAAATCTTGAATATTTGGCAATATTTTTAGAACCAACTTTTACCTTTATAGATGATGGCAGATCTCATGTTCAGAAAACAGGACTATGAACAAGCAGTGTTTCATTTACAACAACTTTTAGAACGCAAACCAGGTAAATATCCACTGATTATATTTTTTCTAATGCAGTCGACTCTCTTTGTCCTCTTCTTGGCTGTTATGCTCCTTGGAAAAACCCCCATCCTGGTTGAATCCAACTCTCTGCTCATTCCACACCTGCCCTTGAGCAGCTGAAATGGTTGTAAGGAAAATGCAACACCGTTGACTGGTCTCACTTTAAATTGTGACCACAGACCCCAAATGAGTCCTCAGGTGCCACCTGGCAATCCTACTGTATTTCTCTAATGAATTCACTCACTTCTCCTATCTTTTACACTTTCTCTTTTCTCCTCAAACCTCCAACACCCTTTCTCTCTTCCTTGTCCTCATCTAAAACCTTGCCTCCTACTTTACTGAGAAGATATGAGCAACTGAATGGGAACATCTCCATCCTCCTGTCACCGAGTCAGCCCGCTCCCCAGCCATTGTCCTCCCCAGGTCTGCGATCCCATCTGCAGCCAGCTTCTCCCTGTGGCCGTGGCCACCCCCCCCCCCCCCCCCCGCCCCCCCCCCCCCTCCGCGAAGGGCTTTACTTCTGCAGGTCTCTCTCTTCTGCACCGTCATTTTTTTTCCCAGTCAGCACACAAACATACTGTAACATCTCCTCACTTTGAAGACGTCAGTAAATAAAAGTCTATTCTTGCCTCTCCAGTTGCTCTTCCCTTCCAATTACTGCTCCATTCCTCCATTTTCCTTTGCAGCAGATTTCCTCTAAAGAATTTCAGTATGTGCTGTCTTCACTTTGTCTCCTTCACTCCTGCGCTCTAGAGAAGCTGCTTCTGCAGGGTGGCCAGTGACCTCCAGGCTGCCAGCTCCAGTGTTTAATTCTCAGTTCTCTGCCTGCTTGGCTTGTTGTATTTAGCATACCTTGTCCCCCTTCCATCATGAAAGACTTTCTTTACTTGTCTTCTGGGATGCTAGGGTTACCTGGTTGTTCTTCTCCCAGCTGTCCACTCTGTTTCACTGTACTTTGTTAGAGCTCTCTTCTCTTTATGACCTTTAAATATCAGAATGTTCTAGATCTCAGTTTTTTAATCTTTTCTCTTTTTATACGTTCACCCCCCCAGGTGACTTCATCCGTGCCCATGGCTTTATATCACATGTATATGCTGATGTCTCCCAAACGTTATATTTCCCAAATGTATGTCTCCAGTCTTGACTCCTATACACCACTGCCTGTTTGCATTCCCACTCAACTGTCTAGGAGGATCTCCAGCTTCGTGTGTCCAAAATAGAACACTTGATCTTTGCTCCAAATATGCTACTTCTCTGTTTCTCATCTCAGTAAATGGCATCACCATTTACCCATTTACTCAGGCCCCAAACCTTACAGTTGCCCGTATTTCATCTTTTTGTCATTACAACGTATCCAGTCTATCAGGAAATCTCTGTTTTACCTTCAAAACATATCTGGAATCCCGTCACTTTTTACCACCTCTCCTGCTACTGCTCTGGTCTCAGCCAGCATCATCTCTCACATAGATTATTGCAGCATTCTCTTAACTTCTCCCTGTTTCTATTCCTTGCCTCCAAGTGGTTTAGAAATGTTTTCAGCTGAAAGTAGCAGAGACCCCTCCGAAATTCTAGTGGCCTAAATATGCCTTTTGTTTTTCTCCTACATAAAAGAAATTTAAAAGTAGATTATGCGGGAAGTGACAGAGAGGTTCCACAGTATCATCAGGAAACCTGAGTCCATCTGTCTTCTTCTTCTATCATCATTAGCCTAACTGCCATCCTCAGTATCACCTCAGGGTCTAGATGACACTGCAGCCCTAGGCACTGATGTTCCAGGGCCTCAATGGGGAAGATCGGGGTGGAGGTGGGCTAAAGGGTATAGCTCCCCAGCAAATCATCTTTTCTTTCTTTAAAAAAACCCTTTCTAGAAGCACTTCCATGGCTGCAAAAGAGGGTGGGAAGTGTCATCTTTTAGCTGAACCTGTACAGTGCCGCTTAGAATAAAGTAAGAATTCTGATAGTGCAGAAGAAAACGATAGTAGATATTAGATACACAATAGCTCAAGCACGTTAGTGCCTTGTGGCTTTTAAAGTGCTGTTTCCTCTTCTGGAATATAGTCCTCGAAAACATTCATGTGGCAGCTACTTCATCCCATTCAGGACTTTGCTCCAGTGTTGCCTCTTCCTGGAGGTGCCCTTCCCCAGCCATCCTATATAAATAGCACCTGTTATTGCTCTCCATGCTTTTACATTTTTTTTTATTGTCCTTCTAAAACAAAACAAAAGAAAAATCATAAATAATAGAACGTAAGCATCAAGTGGCTAAGACCTCTGTCTCCATTGCTTTGTTTCCAGGATTTAGAATAGTATCTGGCTGAGTTGATGCTCCATAAATATTGGATGGAAAGAAGAGTGGGAAGAGAAAAGGAAGAAAGGGAGGTAGAGAGGGAAGGTGGTGAGGGAAAGAGAAAAGAAGAAGGGAATGTGGAAACACTAACGTGTGTTACTAATATGTGTCACTAAAAAGAGTTTGAAATCTCAGAGGAAGTCCTAGAGCTGTCATTCAATGCCTCTGAACCCTAATGCCTTCCTCTTAGGATGGTGCCACTGGCAGTCAGGCTGCCTGGTTAGGGCAGCGTGGACACAGATGGCTGTACTTCAAGTAGGGCAACTCCAAGTAGCAGCCATACTCTACATGTTGTATTTACTAATGCTTTTAATTTAAAAAAAGCTTGAATTTAGAGGACAACACTTTCTATGTAGAAATAAAGTATCCCTAATTACCGCAAAGATTGAAAGGAAAAAATCCTGTTTTTTTGATAATATCAACATTTTAATTTCTTTTTATTTTTATTCTCTTTTTAAATTTTCTCCCACCTTTGGACTACCTCAAACCATGTTGTTGGTTCTGTACCCTGTCAGTTCCAGCTTATACTCAGATGTTATTTAAAAGAGTGCTATTAATATTTTAACATTTTACCTCCTCTACTCACTCTGAGTCCAAAAGACAGGCCCATCCCTGACCTCAGTGGCTCGAACCTTATTCTTACTTTCTTCAGGCCTCAGTCGTTTTTTTCCTGCCATTTCTGCCTTAGGTTCTAGACTCTGTTTTGTCCCTTTCTCCTCTGAACTACCGTTTAAGGTGATACACGTAATGTTTTCATCCTGTCTATCTCAAGCTGTTCCCATGTTGTAGCATTTCTCTCTGAGTGAATGATCCAACCTGATTTCCTTTAAAAAAAACACCAAAAAACTCTTCCCTGGTGAATAATTTTAAGCTATTGATGGTAGTATTGCCCTCTCACATAAAATTCAAAGAAGCTGTCATCTATCACGTGAATTTTGTCTCACCCAGGTTACTTGGCACCAGCATTTTTCCCAAATAGATAATAATAAAATTGGCTTAGTAGACTGGCTACTTTGGGCTGTCTTTTTATAAACAAATATAAAATTAATAATTTATAAATTCAGTATACGGACCTTATACTCCAGAAATACCAGATGGCATAGAACCACACCTCCAAGCCTTTGGGTTTTTTTCTTTTTGCCTATAATGTGCTTTGCCTTCCTTATCCTGCCTCTCTGTCTTTCCCAACATGTAATCCAAAATATACTCCCCTCCACCAAAAACGAAAACCTGCCCCCACTGCTACCAGCTGCATCATAAGATGCCTGACATGATGCTGAGCAGGGTGACCGTCTGCCTTGATTTGCCTGAGACCAAAGGATCTCCTGGCATGCAGAACTTTCAACGCTGAATGCAAGAAAGTCTCAGCAAACTGGGATGAGTTGGTCACCCTAATCAAGGGTCCCTTCACCCATTCCTCTTTATCACTAAGTATTTTACTGAAAATATTTATACGTGTATTTGTCTTCTCTGTTAGACTCCTCAAGTTTGCAGGAATCACATCACATTCATCTTATACCCCAGCACCAGACACTTTGCCGGGCACATAGATGGTGCAAAGTAAATGTGTATTGCTTGAATGGATCAGTGAATGACTGTGAAATATCAAGTCACTTAAAAATACAAAATTTTAAGTAAATTTTATTGTCTATATGATATTGATATTTTATGTTTTTAATCTTGCTTTCTGTGCTTTATTCCTATTAGGACTTTCCAAACTTATCCACAGATTAATTTTGTCAGAATTATTCTAAAACCTATGCATCTACCATTTATTTTATGCAGGCATTACAGGTCATCCTGAGTAGCACACTTATACTTTAAATTAAGGCTGTCTTTCAGCTTACTTCATAAATGCACTATCTAAATTGACTTAACCTAGCTACTAGAAAATTCTTCTTATAGATCTAATTACTGCTCTTGTAGATTACACCTTTTCTCTCTCCAAATCTCCAGATCATCCTGAGTTCTCCCCTTCCCTCACACTGATTTGGTTAACAAGTCCCATCAGTTGTGTCTGCTTACTAGCTAGCTCTCACAGCCAGCCTGTCTTCTCCCAGCCTCCTGCTCTAATTAAGGCCTTTATCTCCTCTCTCCTGGACTAGTGCACAGTTTCCTAACTACTCTTCCAGCCCCTAGGCTCTTGCTGCACCATGCAGTCATGGGACTAGCAGATTACTTCTAAAAATCAAAAGCTATCCCTTTGCTTAAAATTTAGGATGGCTCTCCAGGGTAAAGTTTAAAATCATAGCATTATTTTGATAATAATATGGCCCCAGATTATCCCTCCTTTCGTCTTTCTCCTCCCTCTTCCTCCACTTTAATTTCTAGTAACACCACCCTACCTGCCCTCCCCATGCTCTGCGTCTGCCTCCTGGAATGTCTTCCCTTGTCTAGCAAGGTCCTCCTCCTATCCTTCAGGCTGCTCCGACCTCTCCTGCCTCCCCCAGGCAAAGTTAGGAATTCTGTGCATTGTAATTCCATAGACATCATTTGCCTCATCACATCACACTGTAATTACTTTATCTTCTCACTCTCCATCAATAAACATGGACTGAGTTTCTCAAAAATGTAATACATTTCAGTTTTCATTGGATTCCTTAAGTGCAGAAATTTGCCTGCTGTCAAATTTCATAGTTAACCAAAAGATAAGTTAATGTAATTTAATCTATCAGTGGTAATTGTAATTTGACCTAATAAGGAATGCATTTCATTAATATTGCAAGGTGATAATTATTCAAGAAACTGGCCTCCCAAGGTTGACTTTAGATAGTAATATCATACATCACACATACTAGAAATATCATACAAAAAATTTTAGCCAGAAATTCTAACTTTTACTTCCTGCCTAATCCAATGCAGATTCTAGATTCTGTGATTTTGTTATATGGTAGTCATCCTAGTTCTTATCAAAACTTTTGGAGTTGTCATTATTACTGCTGACATTTTTAGTTTTAAAGCTCTTTCATGCCTTTATTTTATTTGGTTTCCATGACACTGATGGTCAATATTGTAATCCTATTTTAAGAATATAGGTAGTCATAGACTCAGAGAATTTGAATAATTTGTTTGAATTGACATAGCTAAAGGACAAGACCAATATTCAAATCCCCTTTTTCTGAAACCATATTCTTATCATGCTCTGCTATTCAGTGATGCCAAAAGGCAGAAGAACAAAATCTTGAGACCCAGCATTATGGGTCAAGGAAGGCAAATGATGATATTGTTAACCTGGGTCATTTTGACATCATGTAATAGAGTAGAGGCAACGCCTACAGAGGTTCTTTTTTTTTTCTTTTCTTTTCTTTCTTTCTTTCTTTCTTTTTGTTTTGGTGAGGAAGATTGGCCCTGAGCTAACATCTGTTGCCGGTCTTCTCCTTCTGCTTGAGGAAGATTGTTACTGAGCTAATATCAGTGCTAGTCTTCCTTTATTTTGTGTGTGGGACTCCTCCACAACATCACTTGATAAGCAGTGTGTAGGTCCATGCTTGGGATCTGAACCCACAAACCGCTAGGCACCGAAGTGTTTGCATGAACTTAACCACCATGCCACTGGGCTGGCCCCTGGAGATTCTGTTACCTAATAATATTTTTTATTGTGGTAAAACATACGTAACATAAAATTTACCATTTTAGCCATTTTTAAGTATACAGTTCATTGGCATTAGGTACATTCACATTGTTGTGTGACCATCACTATTATCCATCTCCAGAACATCTTCATCCTTTCAAACTGAAATTCTGTTCCCATTAAACACTAACTCCCCATTTTCTCCTCCCCCCATTTCATGACAACTGCCATTCTACTTTCTATCCATGAATTTGACTATTCTAGGTACCTCATTTAAGTGGAATCATATAATATACGTTCTTTTGTGTCTGCTTTATTTCACTTAGTATAATGTCTTCAGAGTTCATTCATGTTGTAGCATGTGTCAGAATTTCCTTCCTTTTTAAGACCAAATAATATTCTACTGTATAGATATATGACACTTTATTTATCCATTCATCTGTTGATGGACATTTGGGTTGTTTCCACTTGTGGCTGTTGTGAATAATGCTGCTGTGACCACTAGTGTATAAATATTTGTTTGCCTCCCTGCTTTTAGTTCTTTTGAGGATATACCCACAAATAGAATTGCTGGATCGGATGGTATCTTCTCTTTCCTTGGAATGTAGGATCAGGATAAATTGCTTTAAAAAGTTTTTGTTTGTGTTTTAATTCCAACTTACCCTACAAAAGTGATCAGAATCATTTATATAATAAGGATTTTTACAAATCCCCTGCCATGAGTCCTGTGCTAACTAAAACTTGAGAGCCTAAACACCTAAAAAACACAAATGTAGAGAAATAAAATGTTAGCCATCAATTTAATGGACTCTTAGACAACCATTAAAATCATGTTTTGAAGACCATTTAATGACAGTTGGGAAATGTTTACTGTATAATGTTGAATCAAAACCAAAACCCCCAGTGTGACTTCAGTTTTGTATATATGTAAACAAAGAAACATATTTATTTGTGTACATTTAAATATTTAGCAAAATGTAGTAAGCTCTAGCTAGTGGGAATATGAGTGATTTTTTTCCCTTCTTTTACTTTTTGTGAATGATTATTTTACAGTCTTAAAAAATAGTTATTAAATTATTCTCAAAACTTAGTATTTTAGTGATGAGAAAGAACTGGATAGAATTGGAAGAATAAGGCTTTCTAGGAAACTGCCAGGAAATTATACGTGAGATCAAAGAACTAAATTAATTCTTCTTCCTTAGAAGAAAGTAAAATAGGATTAAAATACTGGGACTAATATGTTAGGGGTATAATACGGTAAGCTAGTATCTAGTCCATTAGGTACATATGCATATTAAGGAAAGTCTGGAGTAAAATTTTAAATTGCACATCCCAAACATTATCATCAGAATGTACTTTTCTCACCCCCTTCCAAGCTGCAGCAAGTGGGAAAGGAGAGCTCAGAGATAGACTTGCCATGTGCAATCAAATCAGTTGATCCTCCTAGAGTTTACATTGTCAATGCAGACTGTTACTGGAAGGTTTTGGTCCCAGGAACAGTTGAAACTTACAGTTACAACAAATGTACACGTGTATAGATTTGCCACTGTGACCAGACCAACCCAGCCTTTATCATTTGTTAGATCACCCAATTGTCCATACAGTCTCTTTGGGGACCTGTAAATCCTAAGGCATTCCTTTGCTTATATTTAAATTTGAAGTAAACTATACTTTAATGAAGTAGGATTATAACTATGAGAGCAAAAGATACAAAATGTTCATATCTAAATATTGTTTGTTTCTAGATAATTATATGACATTATCTCGTTTAATTGATCTCCTAAGACGATGTGGCAAACTTGAGGATGTTCCAAGATTTTTCCTAATGGCTGAGAAACGAAACTCCAGAGCAAAATTGGAGCCAGGATTTCAGTACTGTAAAGGACTATATCTTTGGTAAAGCTATTGGCAAATAAATCTTACATAATAGTTTTATTTTTCTCATTGTGGGTAAAGTAGAAAAGCTTTTCTTTGTATTAAAAAATATCTACATATGCTAATAGTTTTATTTACCAAACAGATTATAAACTGCTTGAACTTTGTAGTCAGTGATTGAAGTAAATGATTTTTTTTTTAAACATCTAACAAGGTACACTGGAGAACCAAATGATGCTCTTCGACATTTTAATAAAGCTCGGAAAGATAGTGACTGGGGCCAAAATGCCCTTTATAATATGATAGAAATCTGTTTGAATCCAGATAATGAAACGATTGGAGGTGAAGTATTTGAAAATCTGGATGGAGACTTGGGGTGAGTAGTGTTTGACAAATTATCCTTTTTTTGGAAACACTTATTGAGAATAATAAGCAGGGATACCTTATAAAAGAGAACTAAGTTCTAGGATAGCACTAATGAAAGGTCAGATGAAGAAACCATAGCTAGAATAACTGTTCTCTGAAACAAGCATGAAATGCTTTCAGAAGGTTTCCTAAATCAGAATAGATATGTTGTGAAGATACTCCCATAATTACTCTGTAGAAAATAGGATAAATTGTAGAATTCTATTATTTTGGCAAGAATTGTCTATGTAATAATAATAACTCCTTAACACATGGTAGTTTTATGCCAAACCCTGTGCCATACACTTTTTATGCATTATCTTCTTTATTACCTACAACAGTATTGTGAAATAAGCTCAGACTTAACTTGTCTGATGTGATAGTAAATGGTGGGGGCAGGATTTGAATTGAGTTCTACCTGGCTTGCTCAAAGCTCCTGCTGTTAGCCACTGTGGTGCACTGATGGTAAATGGTTATATTTCTGTCAACCTGTGTTTGTTGCTTGTCCTCTTCTTAGGTTTGAACAAGTCCTGGTGGGAGATGTGTAAGGATATAAAGGGAATATAAGAGGTAGTTCCTGCCTTCCGGAACATGTAATTTACCTAGGAGGCAAGACAGTAGGATCTAAAACCATTCAGTCTCCAGCAAAACAGAAATGGGTTCAATGGATTTTAAGTGTTGCAGGAATTCATGGAAATAGTAATGCAAAGCAGTCAGGGGAAGATGCATAGACGAGTGGGAGAAAATTAGAACCAGATTGCTGAAAGGTTTCAATGACAGATTTGAAGATTTGGATTATAGAGACCATGGAAAGTTTTAGAGCAGGGGAGAGACATATTTATTGTATGTTTGTTTTAGAAAAGCTAAGGTAACATACTATTATGCAAATACAGGCTGTTCCTGTGGAAATCTTCAGCAAGTAGTTGAAAATACAAAACTAGAACTCAGAAGGGAGGTCACAGCTGGAGATACAGATTTGGGAGACGTGTACAGAGTGAATAGTTGGAACATGAATGGCCTCTTTGCAAGTAAAATGTGGTAACAGAAGTCTGAGAACTAAATTTTGGGCACACTCCTATTTAAGGGGACTGGAGAAGGACGGGAGGTCAGAAAAGGGCAGTCAGTGTGGTGGAAAGAAAACCAAAACTGTATAATGTCACCAAAGCCAAAGGAAGGGAACTTTGAAGAAGGCAGCCAAGAGTATGAAATGTTTAGGGAAGGTAAAAGTCTTAAGGCCTGAAAAAAAGACCAGTGGCTTTAGTGATTGGGCTTTGAGAATTTAATTTCCTTTTATTAATTGATATACATTCATACATATATAGGTGTGTATACAAAATAAGTAAATTGCTATTATATATTCAAATTGTGCCTGCACTTGAAATTTACAACCTTTCGACAGATACCTAATTTCTGAGAGTCTGATGGGCAACTGGGTGAGGAAAATAGACTTTATATGTCTGACAAACTTAGATTCAGCTCCTAGGTTTACCATTTATTAGCTGTGTGACTTTTGGCAAATTACTTCACCTGTTTGAGCCTCAGTTTTTTCATATATAAGATGGATTCAGTGTAGATTGAATGAAATAATACAGTGCTTGGCACATAGTAGGTACTTCAGCAAGGTTAGTTACTTCTCACTCCTTCCTCCTTTCCTTTTATTTTCTGAATAGATACACCACTTGATAATTGTATGATTGTATTTATCCTGAATTCTAGTTTTATATTAGCTGAAATGAACACACCACACATAGATATTGTCCAAATTTTGTCTTCAGTCCAAAATGAATAGATGATTAATGGGGTTTGATTAATTAATTAATTAATTAAGCTATGATTAATTTTGTTTTAAAAAATGCATTATAACTTTGCTTTACATTGTATTAGAAGAGAAGGAATGACCATTCTTCAAAAGGAATTTTAAATTTTAAATTGGTGACAAAAAAGAAACCAGTGTACCAACAAGCTCATTCTGATCTCATTGAATTTTATTTCATGAGTAATAGACATAAGAGATTTATTTTTAATTATATGCAGCAATTCAACTGAGAAGCAAGAGTCTGTGCAATTAGCAGTGAGAACAGCAGAAAAACTCCTTAAAGAACTAAAACCTCAGACTGTTGAGGGTCACGTACAACTTCGCATAATGGAAAACTATTGCCTGATGGCCACCAAACAGAAATCGAATGTTGAGCAAGCGTTGAATACCTTCACCGAAGTAGCAACGTCTGAGGTTAGTGGATTTTCTTTTTCAGCTTCATACGTTATCTTTCCTTGGTAGTATAGAAATTTGTTTATTTTGATTAGTTTATTTTCTGAATATTGACTTAATTACTTATTGTTATTAAAAATTAGATATATAGTTTGGCGTAATTTTACACAGTGTACCTTTGCTTCCAGAAAAGTGTTCAAGTTACTATTTTGATGTGTTGTTGATATATTTATCACTATTAGAATGGTGAATTCTAGAAAAGGGAAATTCCTCAAAAGGGCATAAATTAATTCTCAAGGAAAAGTTTATTTATTCTCTGGAGATATTCTGTGTTGTAGATGTAGTCTAAGTTAATGTATTAAATGAAAATAAACACCTGGCTGCCTTGATAGCTCACCTTTTCGCTTACGTGAACTTGAAATTTTTCCAACTCTGGGGCTAAGTGAGATCAATACTCACAACTTATAATTCAGTTGTGCAAATAATGTTGTTCTTTTGCAACACTGAAATAACCTCCTGCAATTTTATTATCATTTTTATTGTTATTAGTTCAAAGGTTCCCTCCTCATTTCACCCCAATCAGATCCCCTCCCTTCTCACTCTCTGGGTGTTCTGTTTTTCCTTCCTTCACACAAGTCTGTATTTCTTCAATTACTTGATATTAAGGAAGGAATTCTAGGTACCCACCCCACCAGCAGTCGGTAATAACTAGTTTGCAACATACTTAATTGGATTTCATGTTCTTCTACTCACCACTGTTGTAGGCCACCAAAAACTTATAACTTTGTGTGTCTCCCAGGATATACAGAATTTTGCTGTGTTTTCTTGCTATTCAGAGATCACAGTGGTAGCGATAATCTACCAAAAACCCCCTACAGTGACCGCTTTGCCCTGCTTCCTAGGAACCTGGAGGAGATTCAGATGTCCAGGGCTTTGGGGAACCTACAACTCCTGTTGCCATTTGGGTACAAGTATCCTAGATGGCACTTTATTACCACTGTAAGCCACCCTTGGAACAAAACAGCAAGGTAGCATCAGCAGCAGTAACATCCTAGAGCAGAGCCCTTGCTGACATTGAAGTAATGTTCTCAGGGCTTGTGCTCAGTTGAATTGGCTGTGTGGCAGCAGGTGGATGACAGCAGCTGACTGAACAGAGACCAGAAGTAGGACTATCACATAAGTCTAAGAAAACCTGTAAGAACATGAAGCACCATTTCAAGTGAGTTGTCGTAGCTGCTGAACGTTGTGAAGCAGCGTTCTATCATGTAACAGGAGAGAATTTGAACTGTGAGGTTTGAGAGAGCACCAAAAGCAGCGAGTGACATCACAGCTGTTTCCTAGAAAGACTGTGCCAGTTTCTTGTGTTTTGTGAAACCACAGTATTTTTTTGTCATTCTTACACACATGGTTAGTAAAATACTATCTTCAAATCTGTTTACCAACCATACTATCGAAAGACTAGTGTATGAACTGAAGTTTCATAAACAACGAATTTTATCTTTCATTTTTTTTAACTCATAGGCTGCATATATTAAATATAATGAATATTCATTAAGCAGCCAGTGGGTGCTAAGCACAGTGGGAGTCACAAAGATAAACCACGTATAGTCCCTTTCTTCAAGTTTCTCATTGTCTAGGGAAGACGAGACAAGCATGCTGACTGTGTACAAAGCAAATCTATTACCTTCTGTCCTAGAGTTGCAAATGAAAGTGCTGTAGGAGACAGGATAAGGAGAGGTGGGAGACCCTTCTGTGGAAAATGTATGATTTAAGAAGAACCCAAATCAACTGCATTTTCACAGGGAGAGATGGAGAAAGTGCATTCTAGGTGAGGAGCAAAACATGAATAAAGGCAAGCAGGCAGGGAAGCACAGGGTATGTTCACAGCGCTCTGCAGCATCCAGATTGATTGAGAGCGAAGAGATGTGACAGGAAGTCCTGGGAGGAAACAGTGGAAGATACATTAAACCCTAGCAAAGTGTTTCCATTTGCTTTCATCCCATCACCTTGAACCATGAAAGTGTGTTGTTTATAATAGAGCAGTGTTGTCCTTTGTGATCTAAAGTGGTTGCAGTTTAGAGTGACCGAGAGTGAGAGAAGCTGGCCGAACGCTGCAGGATGTGTGCACCGGAAGAGACCTCATGGGTCTGACGCATCCCTTAGAACGCAGGTTTGCACTTTTAGAAACCATTCTTCAGTTCAGTCAGGAGTGATCAAGTGGTGAGGAGTTGATTCATTCTAATCATACACAAGATGTGCAATTGTAAAATCCGAGAGCTTCTTTTTAAACGTGTAGTGTGGATATTGTCAGTGTGTCTGGATGTTTTTACAGGACCCTTCTCTCCTCAAGCTGTCCTAGGGCCTGACTGATGAATACATAGCCAGCCTCTAGTTTCTCTCCTTGCCAGCCCACCTGGGGTCGAGGTGGAGCTAAATAATTGATAATGTCCCACACGTGTCTTCACAATTTACTAAGAGTTGGTTGGATTTGGCACTCAAAACCTTTTTGCCATTCCTGAATTAGGAGAACACATTATATATTGGAAGTTTATTGATAGGCATAAAATTAGAGCCAGGGAAGTTTTATGTTCCTGAAAGCTGTTTTCATCAAGCACTAATGAATTGCCCTTCTCCATTCCAGGGTTATTTCTGACTTCCAACCATGATCAGTGTTGGACATTGAACATTTCTCACTCTGCTGTCCTTTTTTTCCTTATCAGTTACCCAAACTTGCTATCTCACAGTGCACCTTTATTATAGTCATGATGTTAATCATTTCTAAATCACAGTTTCTCATCTTTTATTAGTATATTAAACCGAAGGCTTCCTCTTTGTAAAAGCATCACAATCCCTCTGCTGAAATTTAAGAAGCACCCTAGTTTTATCAGGGACATACACATTATTGTCCAAGTAAGTTGGTTTTCTGGATAGATCGCTAATGGCCTCCATTTTACACCAAGTCTTATTAGGTTGATGGTTTCACAGAGTGACATTTTCTGACTTTGAACTCTGTACAAAAGAACATTGTGTTTTACAGACACTGTCAAGAAGCTGCAGACTCCAAATCTACAAGCATATTTTAAGGCATGAGTTTATCTCATATAATTTCCAAATGATTAGTTAATTGCATGCCCTATTTATAACATTTCACTGGTCAAAGTTCATTGAGAGAAGAGGCTTTTGAGTAAAATGAGAAGGGAGGGTAAAAGAGCAGTAGAAGTCAGGAGAGGTGGGAATATCATTTGCAGGTAAATCATCGTGTTATTCCTGTTTTACAGGTGAAAGAACTAAGGAGCCAAATGTGAAGTCTGAAACATAAATGCTCAATTAGGATTACACTGAAATAGAAGTTTGTTTATTTTTTATGTTTCTATACAAAACCAAAACAGCCAGTCAGTCCCAATAAAGAGCAAGTCACCCTAATTGTCTGGAGTTGTGTGGTTATGACATCTGCATGCTTATTGAATTACCTTGACCACACCGTGCATCACCAAGTTTCTTCATGATAGCCTGAGGTTACTTGATGTGTTAAATAATGACCATATCACAGTTATCTGCTTGGAGCCAGAAATAGAATGTGCAGGCCAGATCTTATGCTATGTAGCACTTGCTACTGTCCATGTGTTTTCCTTCTAAGCATAGGACAGTTATTTATGTTTGTGTATCTAGGGGTCTAAAGATTTGTTTTCTTACAGAAGGATCATATACCAGCACTTTTGGGAATGGCAACAGCTTATATGATCTTGAAACAGACGCCAAGAGCCAGAAACCAGCTGAAGCGGATTGCAAAAATGAACTGGAATGCTGTTGATGCTGAGGACTTTGAGAAGAGTTGGCTGCTACTTGCTGATATTTATATTCAATCCGCAAAATACGATATGGCAGAAGAACTGTTAAAACGGTGTCTGCGTCATAATAGGGTAGGTGATTAAAAAGTAACAAATAATTGTTAACCTCTGTTGTATAAGCTTTCTATAGTAGGTTATTATGGAGTGTTGGTCCCTTTCTAAGGATTCTTGTGTGTTTTTTGAAAATTAAATGTTTATTCTTACCACAATCAGGAAATAAACATTAATAATGAGAAAGAAGTCGTTTGCCCTTGAAAATAAAAAGTTAGAGATTTATGCAGTTTCAAGTTTCAGCTGTGGTATGCCCTACTTACAGAAAGTGTTTTGGAATGTCAAGCATTTGCCTGTGATTATCCATCTCATCCCAGAGTTAATGAAAATTACAGAAGAACATTAATTGCAGGCGTCTGTCCCTCCTATTAAGAAATACTCTTGATGAATTTACTGCAGCTGCATGTCATTTCCACATTATTAGAATCCACTATGCATAATATATTTTGTGGGGAAATGTCTTACGAGCATTTAATTTGATTTGTTTAATAAAAAAGTCCTTGTCTTTAGGTATAAAATTGAAAATCTTAAAGTCCCTGGAATTTAAGGCTCTTTGCTAACAGTGCATTTTGTTGTTTAATCACAAAAAAGGGGAAGTTTTCTTATAATGTCGATTTTTTTTGGTGAGGAAGATTGGCCCTGAGCTAACATCTGTTGCCAATCATCCTCTATTTTATGTGGGATGCTGTCACAGCGTGGCTTGAAGAGCAGTGCTAGGTCTGGACCCAAGATCCCAACCTGTGAACCCCAGGCCGCTGAAGCAGGGTGTGTGAACTTAACCACTGTGCCACCAGGCCGGTCCCTGTAACATCTTTTTAAGTTAAGAATTTTTTACTATTTGTTGAAAAAATAATTGTACCCAACTTAGAAACTTGAGTATATTTATCTTTAAAGATTCATATCAGTTACTTCAAAATCTTTATCACAGTAAATTTATGTTTTATTCTCTTTGAGAAAATTAGATTACAGAATGGATCATTTGTGTTTTAAAGAAGAATAATCATCTAATACTAATAAGTTACTTTCTCTGGAACTTTAAAAGCCTAAAACATCAAGCCATTTATCAACTTATAGTTTATACATCTAATTTTAAGTTGGCCTTGAAAAACAGAGAATATTCATAAATAGGCTTTGAAAAATCTAAACTGCCAAATAGCTGACCCTTATATGCCTAGTCTAGGATTAAGCAAGACTGCATGGGAATTAAGGTTTTGATCAGACAGAATTTCACTTTGCCAGAACACCAACAGCACTACGCTGCATGGTTGAACATGATGGCAACTTTAGAGGCATCAGCCCTGCTGATTAGGTATGTCAATATTGGAAGCATGAGATTTAGGAACTAGAGCTTAGAAAGCTTGAATTGTTAATTAAAAAGCATAGAACATCCAGGTGTGGGGCAGGAAATATACAAGATGACACTAGACCATCTTGTCATCTTGTCATACCAGATGGCACAGAAGCCATCAAAGATCATTAGAGTCATGTCAAGGACTCAGGAGCCAACTTGAAGACACTCCCACTGCCCAAAGTTGGAACTCTTTAAGTATCAATAAGAATAATAACTGCAATGAATTGAAACACACCAAATATGTTTAAATCCATGAGTTTACAAAGATCCAAAAAAGAAAAAAAAACCCTGATTGATCACTGAAATTTGCTAATAAACTATTATTTCTAAAGCTAGCAAATAAAAGAATTAAGTGTTTATTCCACCTTTTCTGTATACCCCATGCTACTAGGTAATGAAATAGTAGAAAAGGCGATTTTCTTAGTATAGATGTTTTCCAGCTGATGAATAAAGAAAGAATGATAGAATATCACCATTTCCAACCATGGTAAATTAATGAATGAGCATAACATCACAAAAAGAGAATCAGACATTATGTGCCTCCTGATGAAAGAATTCACCATCAGGACTGGGTTGAGGCAAGTGAAACACTCACTTCAGCTCCAAAATGTAAAGGGGCACTTAAAATCTCAGTAGTTATCTCAGTCAATTGGTGCTGCCATAGCAAAATACCATAGCCAGGGGGGCTAATAAGCAACAGAAATTTATTTCTCACAGTTCTGGAGGCTGGAAGTCTAAGATCAAGGTGCCAGCATGGTTGAGCTCTGGTGAGGGCCCTCTTCTGGGTTTCAGGCTTCTAGCTTCTCCTTGTATCCTCACAGGGTGGAAAGAAGGGGCAAGAGAACTCTTTGGCGTCCCTTTCATAAGGGCATTAATCCCATTTATGAGGGCTACACCTTTATGACCTAATTATCTCCCAAAGACCCCGCCGCCTAATACCATCATATTGAAGGTTAGGATTTCAACATATGAATCTTAGGGGGATACAAACATTCAGTCCATTGTAGTAATCAAGATAAATAATAATTTAATGCAATATTTTTTAAAAGAGCAAAATATCAGAATGTTAAATAGATAAGAGTCTGACAGTGCTGTACTGAGCTGTATTGAAGCCTGAAGCAAAAGGGGAAATGTGTGCCCTGATATCCATGTTTGTATGTATTTTTTAATGAGTAATGGTTTTATTGAAAATATTATTGATGTATTTTCTTGCATTAAAGTCAGGAAAGTAAAATTATAGTAAGTTTTGTTTGGAGATAAATAAAATATTCAGACTTAATGTATTTTAATATACCTGCTTTTCAATTTAGTAAATTTTTAAAATTAATATAACATTCTGGAAAAAGTTAGCAATTAAAAAATACCTAAAAATTTGTATGCAGGATTGTGTATTTTTCCTTTTGCCTCAGACTCCAAAGTGGCTCAGCAGGGCACTGGTCTATGAAGTCGTTTCAGCCTCTTTCCCCCAAAATCAAAATCAAATCCAAACCTCTGGATTTAATTACAATTTCTGGGAAATATCAAGGACGTAGGAATATATTACATAAGCACAAGGATGCACTCAACTAAATCTAGACTGTAAGAAACTGGAGGACAAACTTTCTCGTTTCTGCTACATTTTAATTGCAAGAAAAGAGATAAGGAGGAGAAACCTCTAGATTAAGAGAAAGTTGAGAGACATTTCAACCAGTCAGGCCTTGTTTGGATCCTCATCCTAACAAAGTAAAAAGAAAAAATTATATTGAGACCGTTTGAAATTTGAATAGTGGCTGGATATTTGGTGATGTCAACGAGTTGTTACATTTTAGGTATGATAAATTGTGGTTATGTTTAAAGAAAGTTCTTATTTTTAAACAGGCATACTAAAATACTTATGAATGAAATGATACAATATCTGAAGATTTTTTAATCTGGTGATACAGAAGGACAAATGTTTGGGGTAAAGTTGCAACAGTATTAGTTATGAGTTAATTGTTGAGGATATGGGTTCATTATACTGTTATTTTTATATTTGTGTGTGTTAAAGTTAATAATAAAACTTTTTTGTAATAAAAAGTGTACATGTATCTGTGTAAAATACACATACCCTTGCCTCTCACCCAAAAATCCTGATTCTGTAGGTTTGGGGTGGGGGCTTGGCATCAGAATATTTTCTTAGTCCCATAGATGATTTGATTGCATAGCAAGAGTGAAAACCGTTGTTTTATCTGCCATTTAAATGAGTTAATATGGTTGACCTCTATAATCATAAGCACCCCATAAAACCTTAGTGGTATCGAGCTTAATCTGTTGATTCATCTTCCATTTTTCTTCAGTCTTGTTGCAAAGCTTATGAATATATGGGATACATTATGGAGAAAGAGCAAGCATATACAGATGCTGCCTTCAACTATGAGATGGCATGGAAACATGGCAATCAGACAAATCCAGCAGTAGGTGAGTTTAACAAATTAGACACTAGGTTTTCACCCAAAACTTAGGTTTTATTTGTAAATCTTCATTTAAATGCATTTGATTTTTTTAAGAACAAAATATACATTGAGCCAACTTCCTTTGTCAATCCTTCTGAAAAATAAATTTTATATTCATAATAGATTATTAGCTAGTAATAGTTATTAAGTATAATTTCCTGAGATTCACACTTGTCCTCTGTCACCCTAGAGGACATCTAATCTAACAGTGCTCCTTTCTCTTCCTTCACCCTCTGCTATTTTCAGAATGGTAATGCTGTTGGGAAAGGTGTTCCATCGTCAAGTAACTTAGAAAAATATTACATTAAGTCGAGTTCTATGGGTTTCTTTACTGCAGAACTTCTCAAAGCCTCTAAACCCTAATGTATATTGTGATGGATATCACAGAAGGGATATGTGTCCCACAATAATTTGACTATGGAACATTTTTTTTTCTCCTGAGCATCTAGAAATATCATCTTATTCCAGTGGTGGACTATTAGTTTGAGGAATGCTGGTCTCCACTGTCCCTAACAGATGGGAAGCATCCAGAATATTCTTAGTGACTGCCATTTCTCCACATTGTGAGGGAGCTCATCCCCATGCTTCTCTTTCTTTATATTGAGCTGAAATGTGCTTCATTGAAACTGTCCTGTTCTGTTCTCTGGAGCCACCTACAGAGTCCTTTCTCTCTTGGACATAATGGCCCTCCGGTTGCAAACTTCTGTCATGTCTCTCCTAAGGTTTCTCTTCAAGCCACCCTCAATTATTTGTCCCTTCTTCCTGAGACTTGCTTCCAAGTCTTTCACCCTCCTTGTTGCTGTCTCTTGGAAACTCTAGAATAGTGCTTTCTAAACTGTGCTTTGGAATACTTGGTAAGATATTACTAGTTATTCTATTAAAGAAGAGAGAGAGAGAGTTGAGTGTGAGGAGATTAGATTCCTTGGCCAAATAAGTTTGAGAAGGGCTATTTTATTTGTTCATTGTCTCTCTTGGCCTATTGTACCAGACAGAAATGAACAAGTTCTTAAGTATGATTTAAGAACTGATGGTATGTATAATGAAGCTATTTTTTTTTTATTAGGCATACAGTAATTGTTAATTCACGCTAAGATGGCATCCATCTTTTTGGCAGCCGTGTCATGGTATGGACTCAAATTTATTTGCAGTCAGATAGGTCACCTTTACACTAACTGCCATCAGTTCAGGACATCCCCTACCTTGTGTTTCTGGGATCTGTTATTTTACTAGATTTGTATAGAGCACAGGAACTAACGTTTGTTGATAGTATTTGTCCTTCACAAGCATTGTACATCTTACAGAATAAAGTCAGCTTGTAAAATGAAAATTCCTTAAAATCCTTAAAACATATGTAATTTCGATGCTTTATTCCACAGAAGGAATGCATTTAGAAGCTAAATTATTTAAATATTCTGTTCCTTGGAAGACTTCAACAAATACGGAGATTTCAACTCACTAGTTCTTTCATTATGTCATCTTTGTGTTTTTTGGATGATTTTGTCAGTTCCTCTGACTTCTCCTTAGGAAGCATTTCTCTGAGGCTCTCAGTTCTTTAGTTTCTTCCTTAAGATTATCATTGCATCCAGCACCCCCACTCTATCTGGCCAAGTTAAGACAGTCATGCACCGCATAACAACATTCCAGTCAACAATGGACTGCAGATACGACAGTGGTCCCATTAGAGTAGTTCCCTATAGCCTAGGTGTGTAGTAGGCTATACCGTCTAGGTTTGTGGAAGTACATGGTATGATGTTCACAGAATGAAGAAATCGCCTAACGACACATTTCTCAGAACATATCCCTGTCGCTAAGCAGTGCATGACTGTAATGCATTTCACCTTTTCACTTGTCAGGAAATCCTTAAAATCATGGTCATGTTCTTTCCATGGGATTCAGTCTTGAGTATTGTCCTTGTGGAAGGCACCAAGAAGTGAGATGCAGTGAGAGAAGAGCACATTCATGTTTCCCCCTTCACACCCATTCTCAGGTTGCATGACAGTCACTAGACTATTTACATTGTTCTGTTTGTGTTCCCTTTCCCCCTCTCTCTTCCATTTTTTTCCTTGTTTACACAGAATTGAATCTTAGAAGCTTGTCAGGTATAATGCAGCTGCGGTGCACGTGTTCTTTGCCCTTTCTAGCCGTTTATTTTCTAAAATTTTTTGAATGAGATAATCAGTCAAGTTTCTTCCAACGTTAAAACTTTGTGTTTCTTATTTTACTGTTTACACAGAAAAAAAATTGCTAATATTTGTGTGGTACTTTAAAATTTTTAAAAGCATTTCTCAAGTATTTCATTTGATCTTTAAAGTTACGCTAAGAGAGAAAAGAGGTATTATGCCCATTTTTTAGATAAGGAAACTTGAAATTGACAACTCAAGTAACTTGCCTAAGGTCTCAAAGCTAGTCAGAAAGCCAGAAACCAAAGCTGAAATTCAGAGTTTTGGCTCTAGTTTCTGTGTAAATTATGTTTGGCATGACATCTTAAATTGTTTTCCTTTTTTAATGTCACAAATTTTATTTATTAGTCCATTTTGACACTCCTTTGTTATGATATCTAGTTGACCTCTCTGAAACTTATTTTTCATCTTGGGCAGTTCTCTATGCGTATGTGTGTATCAAATACTATAAATTTTAGGTAATTGCCATTTCCTACTTTTTACTACCATATGATTATATTAGCCAGTAATTCTTTTCAAAACTCTTGTTTGAAATTCTAAAAATAAGTTTTGATATTTTGATTAGAGCCCAAGAGCAGCATTCAAATTTCCTTTTTTCATATTTCTAAGTGGTAAAGTGAAATATTTAATTTATTAATTACATATCATTTTACACCGTATATCATTTATTGAGTACACTGCCACTGTTACTTTTTCTGTCTTCTCCTTAGTTTTCTTACTCTTACAGCATTCTTAACAGGAGAACAAGTCATTTAAGAATGTCTTAAAACTTTCTTCTAAATTGTCACTATTCGAAATGTTGCATTTCAGTAGCACTAATTGTGATAATTGTTACTCATCATTGATGTGGAACGTCTGGTGACTAATCCACTCTCTTCTGGGCCTCTCTCCTACCTGCTCCACCCTCTCACATCTAGGTTCTCTAGGTCCGTTTGGATCCTACATGTCATATCCTTCTACCCCCGGCCTTTGCACGTACAGTTCCCTCTGCCTAGATGTATTCTTGCTTCCCCCTCCCTTGGCATAGTTTGTGCCTCATTCTTCAGATTTCAGACATTGCCTGACACCCACCCCTTCCCCAACCAGGTTTCTTCTCTGGCTCTCTTGGCCTTTATTTCATAGCATTTATCTCAGTTTTGAAATTATTCATTTACTTACATAATTACTTAAATAATGTACTTTCTTTCCTAATAGAATGTAAACCTCGTGACCGTGACTTCAGGAACCAGTTTGCCTGACGTGTTAAGAGCTAAATAAATCTATACTATATAAATGAATCACTGTGTTATCATTTACTGCCCTATGATGAGTTTTTACTATAATCTGAAATAAATGAGACTTTTCTAGTAAGTTACAAAGCCACATTTATGAGATGCAGTCTTCTGACCCAACAGTACCTTCACTGTGGTCCTTTTGTCCAACTCCATCTTCATTCCTACCTGTTCTCCTTTCCTGTCACCCCTTCTGCTATCTCGTCCCTTCCCACTATCCTAGTACAGTCGCCAGCCTCCATTAAGATCCGATAAGTTAGCAAACACAGGAGGAGGCAAAAAGAGGTCATACTGGCAGTTTGCTCCATCAATAGTTCTGTATCATTATGGTTTTTTTGTCTTAACAGGATACAAACTGGCATTTAATTACTTAAAAGCGAAAAGATATGTGGATGCAATTGATGTATGTCACCAGGTAACACTTAAATTTAGATTCCTTAAAATTTCTCAGATGTGCAGTTTCCTACTTTTGGTTCATCTCAAGATGTACATGAATAGAGGTAGAGGATGTGGTGTTTTGGTTAAATGACTTATCAACTATATCCAGGAGCGATTATCAGTTTTCAAGGTTTAGAAAATAATACTGTTTAATTAAACATATGTTATTAATTAGGGCTCAAATAATAAAATGTTTATGTCAATTTAAAGACAGAGGCTAGAGGAGAAGCATGTTAAATAAAACAATCTTTAAGTCAGAAGATATTTGAAGATTATTATGGCTTTTTCAAGTCATTGTTCTGAATAGAAGTTCTTGTGCCTGTGTCTGAGTCTGGTTACTAGAGAATTCAGATTTATAAATTGGAGATGAAAGGCATTTCTGTAATTTGGAAGTCATTCAGTTGCATTTCTGTAATTGAACCCCTACTAAATGATCCCTTAATAAAATGACAAATATTTAAGTTGCAGTTTTAGAATTTGCAGTTTCTTTACATTGTCCCATTGATATGCCACGTAAGGCATTATATTAAACGTTGTTAGGAGCTCCAAGAAAAGCTCCTTAGAAAAGAATTATGGAATGTTCCTTCTCCCAGATAGCTGTGTCAGCATCATCCCAGTAAACACTCGGCCTCAGTGATTGCTGTTGATTACTGAGTCTCTCTGGAAGCAGGTATTTCACATTAAAGTTAAGGTTGTACGTTAATGTAAGGTTATACGTTGGAATCATTTGTGGAGTTTTTTTTTTTTTAATGAATAGCCTAGTCTTAGAGTCAGTAGGCCTGGAAATTTGTATGTTTCCAAATCTCTCCAGGTAAATCTGATGTGTGTTCTTGGTTAAAAATAAGTCTGTAAGGGTTTATTAAATATCATGCATAAGTACCTAAATTAAAAAAATATTTTAAGTCATTGATCCGTAATTGTTTTCTGTAACTGATCTGTTAAGGAAGTAATTATATTTGTTGTATTTCCCACATGTAGTATTCATATTCTACTGTTTTCATCTAATTACTATTAATATAAATGAGTCATCATGTCACCTCTGTGTCACCTTTAAAAAGTATTCTTGTATTTGTAGTATTAATTCAATGAAATCTCAACTGTAATGCTCATTTCTAGTAAGTTTTGTAGCTCCCGTTCTCAATAATTAATTACAAGTTCTTGTGCTTTTGTTTCGTTTTTGTTTTGTGTGTGTGTGTGTTTTGTTTTTTTTGCAGGTTCTTGAAGCACATCCAACTTATCCAAAAATCAGAAAGGATATACTTGATAAGGCCCGTACATCTTTAAGACCTTGAAAATTATTTTAATTTAGTTTGTTGGTTAAGTGGGAAATGAAAGGAATCTGAGTTTTTCCAGTTCCACATAGGTTTGAGCTAATGCTTTTTCTCCAGCAGAGGCTGCTGTTGTATATAAAGAGAAACGCTGTGTCAAATGGATGATTTCTCATGGAGAATGTGAATGAGAGCTGATTTATTTGATGGACTCTCTTGATTAGCTGCAGATTTGGTGTCTCTGTGGTCAAGATGATAACCAACCCCTTTTTATAAAGAATATTTTGTTCAAATCTAGGTAATTAAGTATCTTATATCTTTTCTAAGGAGTATTAGCTGTTTATTTCAGGAAATGTATTTAAAATGCTATTGTTCTCTGTTAAAATTTTTTGTAATGTTCTCTGTTACTTCAAAAGTTTGAGTAAATTCCTTGTAAATAATTTATGAAAACGAAAATATATTTTTTAATAAAGATTTTGTAAATTTATGGTTTGTATTCCTCTTGGAACTCAAAAGACATGGTAGGTTTTGCAAAATCAGGGTAAGCTCCCCATGCAGTCTGCAATGTTAATGAGTAGTAGTGCAGAAAATGTGACTTTCCCAGAAAAATCTTTTTCGAAAAGTGTAAAGAGTGTGTTTCCCTTCCCTTCGTTGAGCTCATTCTTCCTGCTCTCAATGCCTGTGTGATCTTGAGAAATAATTAGTACCTGAAATCAGTTTAAATAGGTAAACCCTTATAGCAATATTTAACCTTAGCTCAAAGACTAGGTCTTGTGGTGTAACTTCAGATACTGTAAGCTGTGGTGGAGAAGAGTGACGTGATACTTTTGGTCCACAAGGACTCAGAAAGCACACCATGTGACAGCAACTGCTTGCCCTACCATGCCTACCGCCACCCTGGCGGAGCCGTTCTCACTCTTTTACACTCAATTTAACCTCATCTTAATAAACTCAGTTCTTAGTTTCATTTTCAATTTGTTGTCTACATCTTTTTCTGTTGTCTTTAAAAATACAGTGAACACAATCTTTGATTTCATTTGCATTTTCAATAAACACAGAGTATTTTTAAAAGTCATTTGCTGCTTTTGTGTCCTATGTTTATTTCTTTTGAGCTATGTTCTTTTGTTTCTGACCATTTCTCCAATTTTCCAAAGTCCTTTTAGTTCCAATTATATGTTATAAAAATTCTGATCCTTCTACTCTTTCACCTAGCTTTTATTGATGGCATTTTTGAAAGTGTTTAATAATAACAGCATTTATGAAGCATTTCATGTCTATTAAAACACTTTCACATGTTGTGTTACATTTGATTCTCACAACTCTATAATACAAATATTATTATCCCTGTTTTACAGTTCTGAAACTGTGACAGATTATTTCTTTCTCTGCAATTCAGGGAAAAAAATATCGGCCTAAATGGACATTGTTAGGGACATCATATCTGTAAAATGAGGAGGTTGTTTTTGTTTCTAAAGCAACCACTTATTTTACACCTGCTATTTGTTAGATTCTATTCTCGGAACTTTCCTTACATTATATCTTTTAATTCTCACTTAACTCTCCAGAGAAATAATACTCTTATTTTTCGGATGAGGAAGATAAGACTCAAACTAAATGATTTGCTCAAGGTCACAGAAAAAGTCTCAGAATCTAGATTCCTTACTGGCCCAGACAACTTCAAAGCTCATGCCCTATTTCTTATATAAGATACCTTCCGCAACTAAGCAAGACTGTGTCTGTCTATGAGAAGAAATTCTCTTGTCTCCATCTGGCTAGCCAATGAAACTAAGTGTTCTCTCACAGAGATAGCTAAGTAATAAGGAATAAGATGAACTGAGTGGAATGAACAGTCTTGCAAATGTAGGAACTGTCAAAGAGAAGTCTTAGGAGCAGGGTAGTGTAGTAGTTAAGAACGTGGATTTGAAGTCAGACCAGCCTTGCTGTAAATTTTGGCTCATCTTTTTCAGGTTACATTGGCTCTCTGAGCCTCAGATTTCTCATCCATAAAGAAGCATTTAAAGATAATAACCTGCCTGAGGTGGTTGGAAGGATTAAATGAGAGAACATATGTAAAACTTATAATGAATCAGACTCTTAATAAATAGTAGCTGTACTTATTTATTATAAGTGGAACAAGGCCACGTAGTAATTGCAAACTGAGAAGCACCTTCATGGAAGCGAACACACCCTCCAAGGTGAGATGAAGAGGACAAATAGGCTCCCCTACAGAGCACGGCCGTACGGAATTCAGGATTCTCACTGAATCTCTCTCTCCTCCCACACTGTGGTTTCTTTCCCTCCCTCTCCCCTCCACCCACCAAACATGCTGTACTCTACGTGCATGACCTCATTTCACCATCTTGAACCTACTTTCCCCTTGCCCTCCTCTCCCTGGAATTCTCTCTACTCACCTCTCCCTTACCCTCGCTTCCTGTCTCTACGCTTCCCCCTCTAGGCTTTTTCTTTCATTCATTCAAGTATCAGTTTATTATCACCTCCTCTGAGGCCATGTCCAGGCCTACAATCTAAAGTAGCCATTCTGTCATTCTGTATCCTATTACCCTTTTAAACTCTGTATTTAGTACTTACTAATCTCTAATGTTTTTCTTGTTCACTAAGGTTTGGTGTATGACCAAGCCTTACGTGACATGCCCACAATTGCACATCCAGGAAAGCTGGGACTCAAACTGCTCTGAACCGCCACTTGAAAGAAGTTAAATGAGAATTTGGGGCCTACACTCAGGATGGAGAGGGGACGGACACAACATGAGTGAAAGAATTTTCTGTGGACCTGGGATCCAAATACCACTTCCCTCGTGGTAAGGAAGCAGTTAGAAGTTTAATGCACTTTGACCTTAGGCCAGCTAGTATAGTGAACTGGATCCCAAGGGAAATAGCTTTCTTCCCCAGAAGTCAAGAACCTAGGAGCAGGTCTAGAAGGGTTTTGTGTATGGACAGTTGAGGAAGCTAGGTTGAACTTTGCACAAGAGTACAAGTAGATAATGAAATCACTATGGAAAGTGAAAGACCAATTAAGACTGACAGAAAGACCAATGAAGACTTAATTGAAGACAATCAAGACTCTCTAGTTTGGGACAGGAGAGGACAAATGAACAGCCTTCACAAAGGATCATATAACAGTGCTAGTGTTGATAAAGTAGCAAATGTTTTTTCTTGTGTTATTTGTCTTTAATGAAAGATTGACAAAGGTGCAAGGAAACCACCACATTCATACGCTGCTGGTAGAGTGTAGTGCAGCCTTTCTGAAGGGCAGTTGGGCAGTGTGCATTAAGAACTTGTCCTTTGAGTAATCCCACTTAGAGAAATTTATTATGGGAGATATTCAGAAATTTTCTCAAAGTATCTAGTTAAAAAAATTATAACAACAGCTTGGTTTTTGGTTGTTACCAAAACATCCAACATAAACGAAATGGTCAGATATATGAAAGTTTACCCAATAACGGAGTACTATGTAGCCATCAAAAACTGTTTTCAAAGTTTTTTTAATAGTTGCTTTTTTCAAAGATTTTTTAACTGCTAAAATTTTCACAAAATAAGTGAAAAAGCAGGAAACATAACTTCATATAATGTTAATTTGTAAAAAATTTAATATTAACAGATGCATAGACATATAAAACTAGATGAAATTAACCTAATTTTTAACATTAATTATATCTGAGTGATGAAATGTCAGAATTGTTATTTCTCTGCCATTTTGCAAGTTAACTTCAATGAACATATACACTAAAAATAAATACAAGTGTCTTTTTTTAGAGACGAGCCTTCTCAAACTTGCTTTTTGCTGATGGTTTAAAGCTATTCTGCTGAGCAAAGATGAGTAGAAAAAATAAAACCTGACATTCTTTCAACTCTTAACACCCACACTTTACTGCTAATACAAAATGTAGTCTGGTTTATTTCAATTGTCAGAGAAAAAGATTCAGGAATTATAAGATAGGAAAAGACTCTGCCAGAAAATGGTAACAGGAGTGCTAATAGCAGTAGTAATAGGAGGACACAGGAGTTACTAAGCAGAGATGTGAAAACCTTGTCAACATGAGTCAGAGCACAGGTTCGGATCCCAGACATGTACCTAGCACTGCTAATCAAGCCATGCTGTGGTGGCATCCCACATAAAATGGAGGAAGATTGGCACAGACGTTAGCTTAGCAGCAATCTTCCTCAAGCAAGAAGAGGAGGACTGGCAACAGATGTTACCTCAGGGCCAATCTTCCTCACCAAAAAAGAAAAAAAAAAAAGCAGAAAACCTCAATAGGAAAAGGGTAGGGTTCAGGGGACGTTTAGAAGAATTAGAGTTCAGAGAAATGTGATTTTTGTAAAGGGAGTAAAGGAACAAAATAACTGCAGGTCGGGATATTACATATGAAGGTGGCCTCAGGAGCCCTTATGCTAATTGGCTCCAATAGTTTTCTAATAAATAAAATTGACTTTGACCTGAGGGTAGTACCACTCCTTCATAGGTGTGGAATTTGGGGGCTTCTGTTTTCCTTGGGCTCTGAAGTATTTTTCACTTCCTTCCAAGTTCCTGGTTGTGGTAGCTGGAAGTCTGCCTGCCAGATTAGAGGGGGTTACAGTAACATAATAAATCATAGTTATGAGCAAAAAAGTGTTACCCACTTTTAATACTCTTCTTAAGAACCAGATGTTTTCTAGAGAAAAGCGTCACTCTCCAATCCGCCTTACAGTGCTTGTAAATGAATCTGGCACAATGCCCATAAAAGCAATTTGATCCCATAAATGAGGAAAACCAAGTAATGAGCAGGTTCTAAATGTCTTCCTTCCGAGTGGTATAACCTTAGAATCTACGGCAATCTTTAAACCAGGCTGTTTTCACATAGTGTGTGTATTATTTATATCTTTCTTCAAACAAATTCCTTTGGCAATGTAAAAGAAACTCTGTTTAAAAAAAACATAAGGATATTTTAAGAAGGTAATTACTATTTCAGTTTCCGCCAAAAGCAGACTAGTTTTATTTTTAATGGGTAAATGATGTCAGAACCTTAAAAAAAAAAACCTTGAAACACGAAGAACAGAGCTGTGAAGTATTCAGTAGTATCTTCACTTAATAGTGGGTCAGGGTAAGAGATCCTTTTCACAGTCAGAGATTAAACTTTCTTTGAAAAACGCACTTAGCTTAAGAACATTGAAGAAAAAAAAAACAGGCTAAAATGCTAAGCAGTTACATAAATGATTCTTTCAAACAGTTTAAATACTTGAAGTTGCTCTAGTCAATAAACGAAAACTTCTCCCTGACATATCATTTCTTGAAAAGTTTCTGGCCAATTTTTCACACTGACTTAAGTCACAAATTGCAGAGGATAGTTGAGGGGGATATGGGAGTAGGGGAAAGTCCAGGATATTGAGAAGACCCCTAAAAGCAAAGTCCAATGATTGAGCACATACCACACAAAGCGGCAAGGGGAAGAAATGGGGCGATGAGATGTGACTGCATCCTGATGTCACTTCTCTGTGCCATGCACACAACTCTACCACCTCTTATAAAGTGTAATATCTTTTGGCATGTGTTGGGTTATAGTTGTTTTCATAGATTTCTTAAAATGTAAATATTCGTTATTCCACTTTCAATAAAAAATTGCGTTTTTTCCACAAAGAGAAAAAAATTAGGGTGTTTTTTTTTTTTAAGATTTTTAAAAAAATTTTTTTTATTTTTCCTTTTTCTCCCCAAAGTCCCCCGGTACATAGTTGCACATTTTTTAGTTGTGGGCCCCTCTAGTTGTAGCATGTGGGATGCCGCCTCATCATGACCTGATGAGGGGTGCCTTGTCTGCGCCCAGGATCTGAACCAGGGAAACCCTGGGCCGCCAAAGCAGAATGCGAAAACTTAACCACTTGGCCCTGGGGCTGGCCCCCGGGGTTTATTTTTTTAACTTTTCATTTGGAAATCATTTAAAACTTACAGAAGCTGCATGAATAAGAAAAGTACAG